GTTGCATTAATTAACTGTTAAATATCTCAGAAACTAGAGCCAATCTGGCAAAAAAAAACGAAGTCATATTCTTAATCAGCACCATAAATCTAATATAAAACTGTTCAGACATCGTTGGCACCAAAATCACTGTATGCCAGTGTAATCATTCTCGTCCTTGATGTTTGACTGACTCATAGACAGTGTGGTGCAGCGTGGGACTTTCTTTTTCCTGTCATGTTTTCTGTGTATGCAACATTAGCCTTAGGTAGCTAGTCAGAAGCAGATGGGTCACCGCAAGGCAAAGTAGGCATGAACACTGTAAGCAGACTACTTGATCACTACAAGCAAATTATTTAAACAGTATTTATACAGGAATGATTCTGTCCCAAGCTTTTTGATCCATACGAGCGGTTTCCACTGTATTTTAAATATTACTAGTGTTGAAACCGATTAGTGGTATTACCTTTGGTAGCTGAAACTGTTTTTTCGCAGTGTTTACATTTGACCTCGTTTTGTTCGGTGTCATCTTCACCAAAGCCACAGTGTGTGCAAACGACGGACACGGCATTTTGGTACACGCTGCTGGAGCTGCTCCGTCAGCTCGGTGTTTGAATTCTCCTCCATGTTGCTTCCATGTGGCAGACTGGACGGGGCGGAGTCACGTGACAACATACGCAATAATATGTTTTTAAGGAAACAAGACATGGGGAGCACAAATTGGGGAAAGTGTTAACAGGTTTTACAAGGTATTAACTGAATTTTTTTTTAAAAAAAAAGGTAACTGAGTTAGGCAAGATTACGTCGATTAGAGGTTCTGAATGTTGGTTTTGATTAATTTTAGATTAATTGCCCAGCCCTAATGTACCATATTATGTATTATGTAAGATGTTGCTAGCTTTTAGCAGCGATTATCTTGATAGAGGAATCATAGGAAGTAAATTAAGTCAAATGATTTAAAGCAAAGTAATAAAGACAAGCTAGACTACAAGAAGAGGCTGAAGGGCACATAGTTTATAGCCATCTGTCTAACCTCGCATTACTGGCCAAGTCCCTCAAACCTGAATGTCTTCTGAATGTGTGCATTTTCATTCACTATTAATCTGAAGTGCTTCCGCACATCTGAGGCTTCCGTTCTTTATATGGACCCTTATCCGCTATGCCGCATCTACCTTCTGCCATATTGCTAAGGAATCAAGAAACCAAATTTTAAATTGATGTGCATTAAGAACTGAGTAAACAGGTTTAATCGAGTAACCATGACAGCTCTAGTGCTACGTACACAGAACATTTTAAAAAGCATAAAGCATTGAGAGGCATGAATCTGAAGAGCTTCTTATCACTCTGGGACGGACATGAACCAGGTCCCCCTGCTTTCTTGCTCTGAAAGATCATTTCTACAGACACCAAAGCCAAATATGGTGCTCCGGTATAGAGGGTAGATTCCAAAAACTGATGAGCAGACTAGGGCTGAATGATTTATCGATTTCAAATCGAAATCGCGATTTGAAAGAACGCGATTAGCAAATCGCAAAGGCTGCGATTTAGGACATACATTATATAGCACGTCGGACCCAGGATTTCTTGCGAGTCTGAAAGAGTTTGCAACCATGAATACGTACATTTTTTGTTTCACCTGAATTGATTTATATAGAAAATAACCGTATACAGTTGTGAAAAAGCGGAAACTTCAACCAACATGAAATCACCAATAAACGACTTCTATTTACATTTTATAAAATGCATACTACATTTAAAAATTTCCAGCTTTACGGTTTCAGGACAGAACAGCCACTCTGTTATGAACATTACGGTTTTTTTAGTGTTATTAGTGTTATTAACAGCAGCTAACAACACAATAGCGCAAACAAAAGGGCTGCATACACCGAAGTAGTTCTTGCTTGTTCATTGGCGTGGGAAAAGGCGGTTCTAGTGTTATTAGGAGGGTAATAAGCGTTACCTGCAAGATCGCTATTTTTCTTTTTGCTGCAATTGTTTTCATTATTACTTTATTTAACTTGACACATCACATATAGACCAGTTAATACTGATGGTATCTCATGCTGCGTCATATGTTTTAAAATTACTACACACTCAATATTGAACTGAAGCTTGACATTAAAAAATTAAATCGCAAATCAAATCGTAATTGCAATTTCTGTCAGAAAAATCGCGATTCGATATTTTCCCCAAATCGCGCGACCCTAGAGCAGACAATTCATTACCTTTGCATGTCATATGTGGTCATGGGCACATAAAAATATGGAAATAGTCTAGGGTTTACCTTGTTGTCAAGCCATGGGAAGCACTTGGCACTTAGCCTGTGAAAGTGACCTGGAACATTTCAGTGTCCTGCTCATGAAGCAAACACTTTCCCTTCAGTCTGCCCCTTTTTTGGATGACCTTCCTGCCTTGGCATTGACTTTACTGATCACAGCACAATTGGTAACAGCTTGAGTTTTGTAATTCTCCTCACGATGGATGAATCTATTACTTTTAGAACTTGAGTATTTTATATATTTAGAATATGCTTCTGTGAAAAGCACCATACAACTGAGGATCAGAGAGCAGGGTCGGCCAGTGTTCTTGGAGTAATTTGGGTTAAGGACCTTGGTCAAGGGCCCTACAGTGAAATCACTCTTCCAGCCATGGGATTTGAACCAGTGACCTTCTACTTAAGAGGCACAGCATCCTAACCCACAGAATCACACACCACTCTATTTACAAGAGTTTGAAGGGCAATATGGCAAAATAAAAGGCCACAAATTAATAGAAACTTTCCTAAACAGGCTTTGTTCAAAAATAATTCAGAATTTAGTGAAATATGACATTGTGTCTTATTATTAAGTCTCAGTACTGTTCCTCAGTACTGTTAGTAAGGAAAAGTACTCGATAAGTGGCTGGCAAAAAGGTAAATAGACACTTTAGTGTTCAATCAAAAGTTATTCTGACAGCGTTCATTAATTTAAAAAGCAGCATACAGCCAAACAGCCTACAAATCATGCAGTACAGCTCAGTAGAGGTATACAAAACATGGCAGGGACACATTCACGAGGGAACAGCAGTGGGAGGAGGCCTGTGGGGTTCGGAGGCCTAACATACCCAAGCAGGCCCACTGAGGGCGGATACCTGTGCATTTTCAGTGTCAGCCAGCTGACTGCATTTACACAGCTATGCTGAGACTGTATGGGTGCAATGCACAGCTAAAAATGCAACTTTATCAGGCACTAACTAGACCAGGATGACAAACAACATGGACTTTTTCTGGGAATGAGCACTGAATACGGTGGCTGACCTACTGAGCCTGACTGTAGCTGACTACCTGAACCCTTGTCCAGTAAAAATTAGAAAAATACATACAGTAAATACCATATACAAGTCTGAAACCAATTTATGTAAATCATGGTGTGAAAACAGTGTAAAACTGAGGTGGTTTTAAGATATTTTTCTAATTTCCATTAAGCCATTTGAAGGCTGATCCAAGAACAAGCAGCAGAAAGACAAGGCAAGTTGGATCACGTACAATATAGCAGAGGGGGCCTCATGTGGTTAGGGGAAGGTAGCCGAAAAGGCAGGGGGTAGGACAGACAAGGAAGAAGGCACTGCAGTGTGACCACATTCCTGCAGAGCCTGTTCCTCAGATATTCACTCACAGTGCAGGTCTGCATACTGCTTTGCTGAAGCAAACACTGCAGAAAACACCTTCCACTCTTCCCTGCAGACATTTCCTTAGTTACATTTACAGGTGCTAGTAAAATTTCCACAAATTTATCCACACTCAATTTTCTTGACTTAATAAAAACATAGTACAATATGTTGACAGTGCAATGTGCAATTAATTCAGAAGAACAATGAATATATTCTGGAATTTTCATTTCAATTATGATATAATAACCAAGCAGAAGCACCCATAAATCTCAGTCAATTCTGGGATCTCAGTCAATTCTGACATTTTTTTCCAGACACACATTGCACAGTCAAGTTTTGGACAAATACAAATGAGCTTTAGAGAGAACAAACACTGTCTCATTTTCTCAAACAGATATCTAATGCCCATTGTCTTCATATTTTACTCTGAAATTCAGTACCAATATTTTTAAAAGGTATTCCAGATGCAGCACAAACCCTAAAAAGGTTGGAATGAAAGGTAAACATGCGCCTACATTCCTACAGAGTTGATCCTCGTTAGAAGCTTCTTCTGATACTGACTATTCAGGAAGCGGAAAATACTGCCTGTATGTCAGTCCCAACTCTTCAAGAGCGTGAAACGGCCCATAGAAATTCAGTGTAAATGACAGGCCAAGTAGACATTTAGACAGAGGATGTGAAACTCAGACTCAATAAAATGAGATGGGCAGAAGCCCTCTGGGCCAGTAATAAGAGTTACTTAAGAGGCAGAGTTACCGAGTAACGAGGGCATGAAGCATGTGGTCGTCTAGGTCAAAGGCCAGCATGCAGAGCTTCCCCAAAATGGCTGCTGTCAATGACTTCCCTAAAAGTATCGCAAACTACCTAAGCAAATCATTCATCAGTCTTATTTAACTCTGTTACCCGAAAAAAAACCTTATCAGGCACGGAAAAATAGCTGCAGTCTGTTTTGGAACAACACAACAAGACAGTTTAAACAATTTATCCTATTATATTCTAAATCATACATAGTGTGAACTAGCCAGTTACTGCCATTTCACTGTTATAAATTTAGACAGCTGCTTAACTTACAAAAACTGTCAAACTGTATTGATGTTTGTATTCAGAATAAACTACAAATTCACAAATTCTAAACTCTAGCAGGATAATGGTCTTGGAAATAAACAGCTAACCCAGAGTCTGTCCTGTACTTAGAAGGACAACTTGTTGATATCAACAGAGTTACTGCTATTTAGAGTGCATACAAATAAATGATATTCATGCCTGAGAATTCATCAGGAGATGCAGCTGTTTCGTTCACAGAATTAAGTTCAAGGCCAACCATCCAGTACCTGCAAAGTCACGCAGGAGAGGTTCTGCCACATGATACTCACACATCAGGGTGCTGAAGGCCACAACTCCAAGGAGCCCTTGCAGGAAGATGCCAAAAGAGTCCATCAATGCACCATTCTTGCAGCCTTGGTTGTCTGAGGCTGGCGTAGAGCCAGCTGACGAGGATGAGTTCAGAGATGAAGCTGCGGAGAGCATGCCACCTGGACCACCCCCATCCCCAGGGCGGGACATCATTCTCACCCCATTATCTACCATGGTAGGGAGGTCAACAAGACGTAAAAACGGGTCACTAAACCACGACCGGAAAAGTCAATGTCTGGTTTCCGCGCCAACCGTCGAGTCTTCGTACCACGGTCTTCGTTTTGGTTTGACAGCACATGGATCCCAGTGAAGCAAAGAACAGGTGGACTAGTATACGCTTATTTGCAGGTGAGATGCTCTCCTTTCCGGGAACTTGTCTTCGGTGTGCTGGAACACATCATCTCCAAACAGCATTTTCTCAGCTTTTAAGATCATGTGACTGCTTCAATATCAAATATTCCAAAAGCACACAGACAACAATATTTGACGAAAGGCTTCTCTAACTACGTTTAAGCAACTTAGGCGAGTTGAAGCAAATCTCATGGTGGTCAAAAGCGGCACTCCGCTGGTCACCTACAGCTGTCTGGCTCTTCCCATTACATTTAGAAAGTGAAATAGCAAGTTTACGCCACTGATAAACGTTGCGGTTAATTTATGTCAATTGTCAAATAGGACTGTCATGCATTGAGTTTTTAAACATCGTGATCTGAGCGACACTTGCGATAATAAGAAAGCTGTTTGTTTCACCTGCTTGTGAGATAAGTCGTTTTCAGGTGACAACGTCCATATGCTTCAGTTAGTTGCTTCAACGTTTTCTAAATAGTTACATCATCTATAAATTGCGAATATTCCCGAGGTAACAAACTTTTTCATTAACATTTTAGATGTACAATTTAAAGTTTCATATGACACCGTCCGACCACGAACAGGTTTATTCTGGTCGCCCTCGTGTTTCCTCGTCCCTTTAAATTTTGTCGCTGGCAAATATGGTTTCACATCTGTCTCCACAACCGCTTAGTCGTGTCAGCAATTACGACTTCGATCGCAGAAGGAAGGCATGTATTCCGCAGAAGTAAACTTGTTTCAAACACACTGAATAGACGAAATTACCACAGTCACCGTTTCCGACATCAGCATCCTCTCTACCGACAAGATAACAACGTAGGTTAGCAGGCTAGCTAGATTTCACAGTGAATAATAAACAACCAAAATAATCCGTTGTCTTAAACTCTGAGCCGCCGAAACTCTTTACCCTATATACTACATACAAAGAATATTCTATACGCGTCTACGTCTTTCATCTTTTTCACGAGTTCGAAAACAGCCATTCCAGCTGCTTCCTTGCCCACTCATTACCAACTCCTGACGTGATGACGTTCGACGACACGCCGTCGACCGAGGTGCATTCTAGGAATTGTATGACATGAAATTAAAAGCGGAACTACATTTGGAAGAAAAAAACTGAACCGAGTATCTCAATATTATGGGGTTAATGTAAACAATAAAATAAAAAAAGAACATCTCCGTGTTTAAGTTAAATATCCTCCTCGATTTAACGGCAATTCTTAATTTGTCTTTAAGTTGCACATGTGGACCCCTTCTTTAGGTGAAGAAAATTATGACACATATGCTTATATTCCATTACATAACTAGCGGAACGTCGCCACAAGATCTGTGCAGTAAATGACCCAAAACAATATCAAAATATAAAGATTGATTAATGAAAATGTGGTTTATTTATCATCGTTTTGGTTTTAAATAGCAATCATATTCCACAAACGTATATACAATTTAATTTACATACAGATCAATAAATCAACAATCAGTTTTTTTGTTTTAATTACTTGGATTTCTTCCCACCCTTAAACATTAGAACAGGAAAAAGGAACATGCAAGAAAAATGAGATTGTTCAATGACTTTTTAAAACACGTTACTGTAAAAAGAACAAACAAAAAATAACATATTAAAGGTATCCATACAAAAAAATAATACAACATAAGACATTGCCTACTGTGAAGTTATTTACAATTTCTGCATCACTTTTACCTGAATAAAAACAAATATGTGACTTTCTGCCCTTTCCTGCTTCTGCAGGGCATCTCATTTCAAGTTAATCAGGTTAACAGTATAAGTTGTTGCCTGTAGGAGAAAATCCATTAACCCTCTGACTGGACACAAAGAAATATGTCACTTTGTGAAAATTAATGTTACACCTAAAGCTGAAGCCAGTAAATCCCACGCCTGTTAACATAAACATTCCAATTGTTAAAATATTGCACAGTTGGGTGTTTAAAAAAGACCAATAAGTATCAACAGATAAGTTGTGCTAATTATGATTCATATTGCTTTTTCTTTAAAATAATATACTGGCATTTTACAAAAGTTTGGGTCAGAGTAAAAGGTACTACATACAAAATTCACCTTTGCTTTTTCATATGAGATTTGTTCAGTCTGCAAAAACAATCCCTTGGATTATTCTCCAAAGCCAGTAGCATTTCACAATGTAAGGCATGAGCACGATGAATGCTTTCAGAATTCAACTCATTTTCCCAGAATTCAGTGCTAAGCACCACCGACCTTTCTGCTGTGTACCCTGATAACCGACTGTTGCCACTATAGTAACAGTGGATTTAAAATGTTTCAAGTGTGAAATCACATTCATGCTGCAACATAAACTGAATTTGTTTCTACCATTAAATATCGGCTTAAATGTACAATGCATATATATTTACAGTGACAAACAAATACATACAGATTTGAAGAAAAAAACAAACCAAAGATCTTCCCTTCACAGGAATATATTACCTGCTTCAGCGTACGCTTTTGTGCTTGGCTTTTTGCATTTTATTTATTTTTCACACTTCAAAGCTGATTAAACATAAAATAAATATGAAATCCACACCTGCAGTGCCTGTATAAATAATAATAAAAAACTGACTGCTGATTAGAAGCCATCAGCTGCTCGCACCAAACAGAGAAAAGCCTGATACAAGAGGCTTCATACTGCAGACAGAAAGATACCTTACGGCCACGCCCACTCTGCTCGCGAATCCACGACGCCATGGATGAAAGTGACCTTAGCTGCAAGTGCGCAGCTCCAGTGCATGTACGCTGTAGTCTGTAGAGCGGTGAAAACACTTCGCCACTCCTGGCCGACAGTCTGAGCTAATCCTCCCACTCGCTCCGGTAATCTCAGCTAGCAAACTGCTGGTAGAAGGCCAGTTTCACCCTTTCGATATGGTGGCACAACTTGATGGACGGTCCCAGCTTAAGACCCATGCACTCCTGTACGGTGGGTAGTGTCAGGAGGAGAAGGGCCTGTCCGTCAATCTCCTAGAAATACAAATGTGGATTCAGCTGTAAATTTAGAAAAATAAACACTACATAAACAGACAGTTCTTTCCATGGGCCAGCAGGGGGCGTGAATGACTCAGACCGGTAACCTGAAGGCTGTCCAGGAATCACAAGTTTGTTTGCATGAAAGATGCAGCCGTACAAATGAATAACATAACAAAAAAAGTGCTGGCTGCAAGCTTCAACCAAGCGACTAACAGGTACATGCACATAATGTCGCATTTTTTGGTGTGTTTCCTGCACTACCTGGTCCAGGAAGATGCGTGCCAGGGCGGCACAGTCCGTGGTCCTGATGAAGCGCACCACGTCCGCCACGCTCCACTCCAGGGGGCTGCTGTCCAGCCGCAGCTTCTCTGGTGCGTCTCCCCGCTGCGTCTGAGAGCGGATCGATTCGGTAAGATCAGCCTAAAGCAGATGCAGCCAATTCGCAATTCTCAAGGAGCCAGGCTTCTCACGGAGGGTTCACACCCTGCAGGGCGTCTGTTCGCTAACCTTTGGGGAGGGGGGCCGGTTTTCATCGTCGGAGTAGGAGGACGAACGGGCCTTGCGCCTGCGACGGGTTCGGACCGTCTCATTGGGCGTTGGCGAGGGAGGCTGCGATTTCTTCTCGGAGTGTTCCGAGTCATCCAGCAGCTCGTCTTGCAGTTCTGAGCCCGAGTCCTCGCTCAGGGAGTCTTCCTCATCCAGGTCTTCTTCATCACCGCTGCCCTGAGGATGAGAAAAGTGAGAGAGTCGGGAATCAGCTGAAATTCAGTACCAATATTCACATGTTCGATGTTCGACATACCTGGGGTGAGCCGGCAGGGGTGTTATCCAGGGAGCTTGATCGTTTCTTCTTGTGAACGAAGAAGTGCTTCCTCCTCTTCCTCCTCTTTCCCGTCCTCTTCATGCCGCCCTCCAGGTTCGTGTGGCCCCCCGGGGGTCGGCCAATCCGCTTGCTTTTCTTTTTGCCGTAGTAATGGGCTGTGGAACACATGCACACCTGTCACATCCCGCCACGAACAGGTGTTACGCCAAACCAGCTGATGACTGAGACTGATGGTCACACTTCTGAGAACAGAGACCACCTGTGTTTCAATCAGCCAGTACAATGATATGTGTTTAAAGTGAAATGAAACCTAGTTATCCGTACAGAATTTCTGCCTCGCCTGCAATTTCTGCATTATTCTTGCCTGTGCATTATAAGCAGTTATATGTGAAGGTTGCTAATGCTGTTATCTCGCATGATCCGTCACTGGATATTTTACACTGTGGCTAGTTCAGAGGGTGGCAGGCTTTGCTCACATTTCCATGGGTGGGGGATTCCCCTGAGTTCTCCGGTTTCCCCTGTAGTGCAACGACACGCAGTTAGTATGACTGGTGGCTCGAAATGGTCCATAGAGTGTGAATGCCCATATGTATGTGCCCTGTGACAGACTGGCATCCTGTTCAGGATGTACTCCAGCCTTGTGTTCAGTCCCTTCACTATCCTGACCAGGATAAGAAGTTTGAGGATGGATGCTCACACTAGAGTAAGAACCTTATTCAACAGTATTACAGTAAACCACCACAAGGGGGAGCCTGTTGAATTCAGCAAACTCGTTTATGAGCCCATGTCCATCTAATTAATAAAGCTCTAAAATGGTCTTTCTACAATAATCCAACACTACATTATTTTCCCTGGGGAAAATCAGATATTTTTAAAGATCAAACAAGCTTTTCCCAAAAAACACACACAGCAATAAGACCAACGACCAACGAGATTGTAATTTCATCTCGGTGTATGACCCCTAGATCCTACAGCTAAAGATGATAATAGATACTTTGACTTTGATGACTGCAAATCTGCTGCCTTAACTTCACTGTGGATAACAAGCTTCAAAGCCATTTTAAAGACATTGTTACTTTAAAATGGCAACATTTTAATGGAGATCTGCGATTAACCTCTCAGTCATATTTGGCTACATCTTTGTGAATTTTAGCCTGGCTTCCACATGCCATAAACCAAGATCTGGTGATTTTGATATCACAGCATGTTATTAATACATAAGAAAGATGCATGGAACCTGGATGGAGATATGAATCTCTTTGTGATGAGAATTACTTCCATTTCGGGTAAACTGATAACGAGCGGCTTGCTAATTTGCTTTCAAGAAAAAGCCAAATGATTATAAGATGCCCAGCAGCTCGTGATAAGAAGAGAGAGACACACTGGGCGAGGGCAGACGGCGAGCCACTCACTGTACTTGGTCTTGGTGAGGATGGAGCAATTTTCTGAGCAGCGCTCCAGAACCATGCGCGGCCCAAACAGGTTGGGGCAACACTCAAGCTTGATGCAGGTCTTCCTACAAAACTCTGCCACTTGATCTGCCGTTCGCACAATCTCCACCGTGGCTCGATAGCTCTTGCCCTTGTACCTACGAGTCGGGAGCACGTGACGTGCGTTAAGGCAGACCAGGTGAAGCCTCAGCCCAGTGTATAATTATTTCGCCACATTGCGATATGACACGGCAGCATGCGGCGCTCCGGGTCCCCCGTTAGCGGCACTGACTTGGCTTTGAGCGTCTCCCCGTGGCCCTGCCAGCGAGACTCCTCATCCAGCTGCAGCTCCCGCAGGACCCGGCTCGGCTTGTAGGCCGCATTGATCAGGAGCGTCAGCACCTGGGGAGGAAGGACAGGTGGGCGTCTGAAGATCGTGCAGAGATGAGGGAGACGAGACGGAGAGAGAGCGAGCGAGAGACAGAGAGCGAGCGAGCAGGAGAGAGAGAGAGAGAGAGAGAGAGAGGGCGGCTCGGAGGCAGAGTAACGTTTCTCTGGAGTCATCGAGTCACGCAGAGCAGCCTCTGCCTTCAGCCTGGCTGAGATCGCACCTCTTTTAAGACCAGAACACAGCTGCCAGGCCCAACACACTGCGGCAGCTCTGCTATGCGGCCCTTGTTCAGGTACGGCCCGGAGAAACAGCGGTGGTTGAAGTAGATCTTGGGGCAGGAGTATTTTCCGTTGCTTTGTCCTGCGGGGTCAGCAGGTACGGGATTAGAATGCAAATTACATATGATCCTCAAATACACAGAAATTTACTCGGGAATGCAGATAATACTGCCTACAGCAATGGGGAGAAATGTACAATAGGGACTTATTCAGAGGTGCTGGTCACCAGGGACACGGCACTCACCGCTCTCTGATTGGTTGTTTTCCTGTTGTTTCAGGGCATCGGTGGGCGTGGCTCTGGTTGGAGTCCGGCTGCAGGGTTAACATACAACAGGTCAGTTTTTTCCCCCCCCAACATAAATCGCTTGCTGTTCACAGTTTTTTTCTTTTCCCCGAGATACCTACTGCTTTTCCGGCTGTACCACTGCAACCCGCCTCTGCTTCTGAACTGAAAACATAAAACAGAAACAAGAACTGAAATCCACCTGTTTGGATGGAGAGTAAAAAACGACGAAACATGACAGGTGCAGCTTTACATGTTACCAGCTGGTAGAGGAACACTTGCTTCTGTGCGGGAAAGTTGGCAATGAGCATACATAACAGGACCAAAACATTAATAAATTGATCTTTACATCCATGTTGGGGGAAACAACCCTGGTGTGACCCACCCACCTTGAGGTTTACTGGGGTGTCTGAGGACGTAGCCATTGGTCTCACACCAGCTGACAGGAAAGATGTCCATGGAATTGACATGCGTGATGACCTCTGGGATGGACTGCTTCACCCCTGGAGGCACAAAGCAGAGCCAGGGGTGAGGCTGTCAGTAACCAAGACATTTTCAATAATGAATTCTATGGAAACCTGGAGGCAGCGCAAACGGTTGTTCTTAAAAAAATTTTGAGGGGATTTTGTGACCTCAATTTAGTATTCTGTGGCCACGTTAAGGAAAATTATGCTCATAATTGAGTATATTGTGTGCACAAAATTAACAGAAAACCCTCCAGGGCTCGATAGTACACAGATGTGTAACATCTCGATTCTCCTCCAGCGTCTCAGTTGCACTCCCCCCCCCCCACCTTCCAGATGCAGCCAGATGTGCTGCCCCCGGACCCTGGTGACAGTTGCCACGTGGATGTGCTCGGGGGAGAGCGGGTTCACCGCCTCCAGCTTCATGGACGCCACAAAGTCATGGTCACGCAGCTCCTACAGGGCATGAATACAACAGCAGTTTAAACACTGACACACATGGTGACTGCAGAGGATCCATATTTTTAAGTAAAGGTTAAAAAGTGAAATGAGCAAAGTGATCCGTCTGAGCTTCAGCCTTTCAAATCCTTCTGCGTTTCAACTATAAAAGCCTCAGAAAGCTGCTAAACAGTAAATTACACTCTACAAACATGATGCAACATCACATATGTGACAACCAGTCTGTTGTTATTGTTTTCCTGATAACTGCTGCTTACTGCCATTACATAATGCTGTTTAATTTAAACTACCATTGCATTGGCTCTGCCTCTCCAAAAATATGTTCGGCTGCCTGAGTCATCCGCTGATCACTTATTAAATTCAGCTGGAAGTTGCAAAGTAAAAACAGAAGCAAAGAGCAGGAGATTTGGTCGCGCTGATTTCTGCAGCTATTTTCCTCAACTGTGGTTAAGGGCGAAGGTAAACCACAATCAGTGTTTATAGCCGCTAATCTGAAAGCAAAAAAAAAAAAAGTATTTGCTGATCTCCTCTGACCACCGCGACGGGCTATGTTCACGGGCTAATGCGGCAGCAAACTGTACCACTGCAAACTCATCAAGGACTGGAAATGTGCAACATGATGCATACCTATCAACTGTGAGCATGAGTGATGCCGCTCACAATAGAACAAAAGCACGAGTTACCCAAAAAAAAATGCGTCCTAAGCTGTGACAAGAGACCAGCCTGTGAATGCTTTCGGTCTGCCCTGTGCTACAGGTGCTGGCAGAGAATGAATACAAACATTTAGCAAATTGCTTACTTAAGCCTCTGCTGATTAAGTGCGAAAGCACTTTGGACAGCACAAGGCGGTATCTGTGAGGCGCGGCGGAGCGGCTTTGCAGAAGGAGTGTGTGTCATACAGGAAGCCAGCACACTGCTCCTCAGTCTGAGATTACTCACTGGGGCAAAGCAGTGCTGGGGTGCAGCCTCTGCCTCGCACTGCTTCAGGTAGTCGGCCCAGTCGAAGTCCTGGCCCTGGTATCCTGTGAGCACAGGTACGCACATACACAGGGCAGGAAAGACACCAGCAGACACGGACAACACCAGGAAAGACACAGGTAGATAGAGGCAGACCAGGAGAGACACAGGCGGACCAGGTGAGACACAGGCAGACACAGACAGACCAGGAAAGACAGAGACAGGCAGGCCAGGAAAAACACAGACAGACACAGGCAGACCAGGAGAGACACAGGCAGACACAGACAGCCCAGGAAAGACAGTGGCAGGCCAGGAAAAACACAGACAGATACAGGCAGACCAGGAGAGACACAGGTGACCAAGAGAGACACAGGCAGACACAGACAGACCAGGAAAGACAGAGGCAGACCAGGAAAGATAGAGACAGGCAGCCCAGGAAAAACACAGGCAGACACAGGCAGACCAGGAGAGACACAGGCAGACACAGACAGCCCAGGAAAGACAGTGGCAGACCAGGAAAGACACAGACACAGGCAGACCAAGAAAGACACAGGCAGACAGTCATTTCATGAGCAGAAAAAGCACTTGTCCCTGTTGTGCACATGGAAATAAAAGCAGTGGTTTGTTTTCATTTATTACGCAACGCACATTAAACTGGCTACAGAGGGCGGAGTCAGTGACCTGGCGGCGGGCTGAGCGGCACCCCGTTTTTGAGGCTCCACTGGGCAGGGAAGATGCCAGAGCTGTCGCTGTGACACACAAAGGGGCGGCTGCCCCCCCTGCACACCGCGCTGCCCTGCAGGACGTCCATCTCCACCAGGAAGTACTGATCACTGAACACCTGGCGAGGCACGGTCAGTCACCATCGGCAACAGCGTTTCATATAAAACACATACAATGCTCTTATTAAGATTTAATGCTGTAAGGAACTCGATGATCTATTGACACGTGATATATTATACAACTGGCATGCTTCTCAGAATAGGGCCTCGGGCAGACAGCGCAGGGTTACCTTGGTGACGGTAGCGGGGCTTATGCAGAAGGGAGCAGCGGGATTAACAGCTTCCAGTTTCATGCCTTCACTGAAGCAGTGAGTGGAGACTGTGGGCTTGTCCTAAGCACAGACAGGGATGCTTTGGGCTACATCAGGTCAACTTACTCCTCTGATGTCAACAGCCAATTTTATTGCGGAAAAGCAAGGCGGAAGAGATCAAACAGCATTTTATAGGTAGGTGCTGACCAGTCAAATCCTACTTAATGGCCAACAATGACCGAACCTTTGCAACAGTAGTTAAAAGTGACCGAGACCTCGATTCCAGTTGGCTGGGTGAAATCCAGCTGACTTTAACAAACATCACCAAGCTACAATCTACTTTATTTCCTGTGCTGTGACTATTCAGGAGCTGGATGCAGAGAAACAAACAGTGAGAAGACATATTTTATGCAGCTCATGGCCTCAGATGAGTACCTTGAATAAGTCTTCAGGGACGGTCTCCTCGGTGGCCTGGCAGCTAATTCCCTGTCGGACTTCACCCCACTCCGCCTCACTCCGCAAAACACGTATCGCTGAAGCACAAACGCGGACACGGACAGAGAAACCGAGTCAGAGCAGCGTATACAATTGCAGTGACATGTTTCACACAGGGTGAGAGCAGAAGGGTGATGGTCATCTTTTGCCATCATTTCAAATTAGCAACAATCAAGATACCCACAAAATACGTTTGCCAGAGTCTAGCTATAATCACATTATAAAGGAAATGTTTACAGTAGAAGATCACGTTTGAATATTATTTTAAGTAAATGTGATGCCCACCAGCAGGGGGGGCAAGTGTACAGCCACTTTCCAGTGCCCAGCCAGGAGGGTGCAGGAATGGGTGCAGGTAGAAGACCCAGTGCTTGGCAAGCGTTTGGGGTAGCCCCTCGGCTCCTGCGTACAGCAGGCGCAGGCGCCCCCCTACATTCTCCTCAATCACTGCCCCCCAGGCCACTCCAGGATCCTCGCTGTCCTGAAGCTCCACACTCGTACCCGGGCACAGGAGGTCCAACAGATTCTTCCCACGGTGCGGCTAAGAGAGAGATAACTTAAGGTGATGCTGTGGCTCACCAGATAGCACCGCCGCTATTCAAAGCCCCCCCCCCCACAGTGTATGTGCGGCAGCGGCTTCCTGTGAGTACTCTGGTTTCCGCTAATAGTGCATGATCATGTGCATGTGCACCCTGCAATGGCCTGCCATTTACACCATGGTCTTCTCTAGCCTCGTAACCTCTGATGTCTAAGATGGGCTCCATTAACCGCCTCCCAGACCCAGAACTCCATAAGCAGGTACAGAACGGATGGATGAAGAATTTATCAGTACAATCCGGACACTTTCATCTAATTTGTGTATAAAGCCTCCACCTATTCACCCACTCACTCACCTATTTACTCACTCGTCTATTTACTCACTCACTCACTCACTCACTCACCTATTCACCCACTCACTCACTCACTCACCCCTTCCAGTAGGTTGGCCGGTGCACTACAGGATTCCAGTAGGCCATCCTCCAGGAGAGCTTCCCAGTTCTCATGCTTCTCTCGCACACCTAGGAGAATGATGGGGGAGGGCTGAAGGGTAAGAGCTCAGCAGCCCGCGAGTGCAGCTAATAAACAGCAACACCTGATTCAAGGCATCAGTGACTCTGGTTTTCAGCTAGAGGGCGATGAGGAAACTACAAACTGCAAATGTGCTTGGAGCCTGAGCAGATGCCCAGCTCTGAGAACGGGGAAAGTTCTTGGCCATACAAGGCCCACGACTCACCTTATACTGCAGATGGAGGGAGACACGTCACACAGGTGCTACGTGTGAGTGAAGCTGACATTGTTGCATTGGCATATAATTTTTAGTTGCAGACAACCGTTGTCAACATCCTTGTTCACATATGGCTAAAATTTTAGTGTCCAGTTTGCAAAAACCACCAAAGCATCCTGACTAATGATTTAATGTCATCCAGGGTAACTCCTGTAAAACTTGCTCTGGTCAAAACAGCACGCAATGTCACATGGGGGTGGAAGAAAGGGAGACTTACAGCTAGCTAACTGTATCTGAAAATGTATCGCCAACTTTTGCAGGTTTACACACCCTTAGTCCTGGTGTGAGCAGAGACAGTTTCACGCAGCATGAAATGTGTGACCGAAATGTAAAACAAACCAACTGTCACCATATTCAACCGAGAGGTATCAAGAAACAAGCCAATAAAAATTAGTTTAAAATCCAAGACTTCAAACGTGAGGGCTACTTCTGTGAAGCAGAACATTGCTAACAGGGAAGCTGGATCAAAGCTGAAAGCTTGTTTTTCTCACTACGGGAACTGAGATGGTTTTCACGCCACATAGGTTACCTCACCCAAAACCCTTTAAAGCTGATAAAGTCTACAAACACCTAACTCTAAAAAAAGCAGCAAAAGAGCATCAAAGATTCTACTGTAGCACTGAAAATTAGCCAGGAATATGAAGGATTTGGCCGCCATACAGTGAGGTAGCTAGTGCCTGCTTGCCGTGCTGTTTATGAATTAAATGTAAGAGCTAAGAGCAAAGCCAGCTTAGCAATTATATCCCTATTTTTCACATTCCCACTGACGATACAACAAAACCGTGTTCACATTTACATTTTTTTTTTTTACAGTTATCATTTGGTGTTCTGGGTAGAAGGGAATTGTTGGACTGACTACAGATGGGCAACTGTATTTGCTCAATGCAAGTGTGCCAGGGAGACTGAAAAATCTCTGTGGTGATTTATTTATTATGAATCATAATTAGGTTTTATGAGAAAATGTTCACATCCACAAAAAGGAAATATCTATAGTAAAAGATACTCGTCACTAGGGATGGGTATCATTAGGATTTTATTGATACAGACATCGATACCGATACTGCTTATCGATACTCTTTTATACTGATTATAGATACTCTCTATAATGTGGTGCAAAAAACAGACATGACACAATGTGAAGAGATTTAACAGTTATTTTAACATAATTTTTTTAGCAAAATTACTTTCCTGTATTCCTGTAGTGCTGCTTCACTATCCTGCTAGTCCCGGATGTAGAGGGTTGAATTTCAGACCGTATTTTAAACCACTGAAATTTTGGCAGCGTATTTGCAAAGCGAAAACAAAGGGACTGAATATTACCTCTTGAATTATGAAGATGACATAAATACACATTGAGTGTTTACAACTGAATTTGTTGCCTTGAAATTTATTTTGCGGCGAAAGTAAATGAGCTGAATTCAGGTGACAAAACTATAAAAATTAACTTAATAAACTGTATATTTTGGAACAAATATTTTTGCATTGATTATTTTCCCAATGAATTTACAATAGAAATATTGTCAATTGAAATATTCAATGTTTAAATGTACATTCACATTAAATTACAACCCCAAAATGTTCAAGTATTATTGAATGCAATATGTTTTTATTCGTTACTATATGTTAGGGCACTTTTCCACTGCAACAGGTACAGTACTTATGGTACTTATGGTACGGTACTTTCTGTACTTTCCCTTTTCTGTTGGCTTCCATTGACCGGTCGCGCACCAGTACCAAAAGTTCCAGTACCGAAACTGCTAAACTGGGATACTTTTTTGGTACTTTGAGGAGGGACTTGAAATGCTTTCTTTGTTGATTGTTTATGCAAATACCCCTGCCTCTGAAACACAATACAACCTCAGTCTTGAAGAAAGTTGCGAAGTCAGAGAATAAGGACAAATAAAGTACTTTGTATAATATACTAGGGCGGCACAGTATTTTGTTGTAATAATTATTGGGGTATTTATAAAGCAAAAAGGAGTTTGACATAAATTTCTCACAAATCCATCTAGGAGTGATTTAAATAGCAAGGAAGGAAATGATTGATTGTCTCGAAGAACACATGCAACTCTTATACAAAAGCAGAGGTAAACTTTAAACTGATTTTTAAACCTATACTAGATCATCTATAATAGGAATAATAATTAAAATTGCAAAGCTAAGTTTTTTTCCTATGAAAAGTAAAAATGTTTTAACGAAACAAACTCCCTACTCTATATTGAACGTACAGAACTGAAAGTAAACAAAAGCCTGATCTTAATATAGCTGACTAGCGATGTAAGAATTACATGTGCATCTGATATTAATATCACACACTGTCCAGCCATTTAATTTAATGTAGCCTTTTTTTTCAAATTCAGTACAAAATACCCCGCCCTGTGTTGATGTTATTCAGTGCCGGTACCAGTTTTTACACCAGTGGAAAATCAACACATTCTTTAAGTACCAAAAGTATGGTACTTGGTGCAGTAGAAAAGCGCTCTTAGAATGAATTAACGGCAAAAATACCGATAGTGGCACCGTTTGTCCAGGAGCTTATCGATAGTATAGGTATTGCCCAGTCCAGAACCGATACCAATTCAGTACTGGTTCTCGATACCCATCCCTACTCGTCACATTTCTTCATTAAGGCTATAATGGAAATTATGGTTAAATAAAATAACTGAAACTTTGTCTGTACCTTCGGGTGGTTTCATAATTCGGCCATGCTGCTTGCTCCAGCCAATAGGATGGAGATCTGCTGTCATGATGTCACACCAGAAGTCCGCCCTGCGGTCGTCGTGGTAACCCTCATAGCGCAGCAGCAGTAGCTGGCCACAGGTGGTGATTATGGTGGCCACCCAGTAGCTGCCATTCGGCTCGCCTCGTACACATACCTCCAGCTTCATCCCGGGACTGAGGCCTGTGTGCAGGCTTAGGTCAACCTGGTGAGAGGGCAAAGGTTCCACAGCATGAGCAGTACAACGCCTGTGTAATGCCCGGATATGCTACACAACAAGGTGTAAAATCAAGTGAAAGCTTGAGTGCTGAGCACAGTTAACTGGTTTTACCAAAAACTCAACATAAACCTGTCAATTCATGAATCCCTGACGACTGTTTATTTTCAAACTTCTCCACAGAACTTTGTAAGGTCCTTCGCTGTGGTAATCAACAAAGATATGTCGCTCACAAACAAATTTAGGGGAAACTAACCGAGCTCTTTGTTTATCACAAAAGCCTAATCTGTTTATCCTAGTGGTAGATCCGGCAGCGTGAGCTAGGAAGGTCCTTTCATTTCTGCCAAGTGGTATTACAAATTCCAGCAGTGTGATACTGTAATTCACTCAGAATCTTGTAAAAAGTGCAGTTTGGATGGTATCTAGCTAGGCTTGGCTGGCGGCCAAGGAGTTTCAGCATACAGCTCTCTCAGACGGAGAGTGTAACCCCCATAACTGCAAGGGGGACCGTTCTGCGAGGCTGTGCCCGCCCCTTACTGAAATCCGCTCTCCATTACTGGTCCCCAACATACTGCACCGCCCAGCTGCCCTGGAGCAGCCAGTAAGGCAGAAGTTAGCATGAAGCACGGCAGCCAAAGACTGCAGTTTCTGGGCAACATCCCCATCAGGCTGTGCGTGGCCCTGACACGCCGTTATAAACGGCCCCTGTGTGAGCACGTGGTGCCGTGGCGCTCCACTCACATGCTTGAAGGCGTGGTGAGGCACCGCCGACAGGCCGCATTCCTCCAGGTACTCGTCCCAGTTGAAGTCGGAGTCATCCTGCCCGGAACCCTGGTCTAAAACAGACACCACCCCCCCCCCCCCAAGAGAAGTCGGTTTTCATCCCAGGAGCAGCAGTGCCATCTCAAAACTCATCACTCACATGCAAACACTCAGCCAAACTCAGACACAAACGCAGGCAAACAGCAAATGTAGTTCTTAATATCTCAAGCAGCCCAGACCACCCTCTTTAAAGTCCAAAACTTGAACAAAGACTGACACTCTTTGTTCTCCACTATTATTTTGCTCATATATAGTACATAATACAGTCTGCCTTTATCGTATGAACTTGGACTTTATTGTATTAAAGAAGGCTTTGTTTTATAATGCTTTACTTAGTGTTTATTGCATATATGGTGGATTGTGCTTAAAGTACCATGTTGAGGGAACAGGAGAACAAGAATTCACACTCTCTTCATCTGGCAAACATGGTCATATACGCTTAATCGCTTATACTGGGTGATCAAAATAAGAAGGATGTGTTCGGGGGGGGGGGTGTGTTATGGGGGCAGCACCAATGAGCACTGCACTAAAACACTGGCAGCATTCACTGTTTTCAGAAACAGGTAATTACTCAGCTAAAGTCCATGACTCTATTAAAAAGCATAAATTCAAATTTTCCTTCTCGGTTACTCGACAATATGACAGAAGGAAGATGGTGCTTAGAGGATGAGGTTCCAAATTCAGTATCGCAAAGCATACCTTAAATATCACTACAGCAGGACTGCAACACAACTCTATCTTTAAAGACGACATTTAGGTTTGACAGACTCGCCCAATAATGTGAGCTTAGCCACAGATATGTGCCATTTAGCCTTTCGCAGTAGCTTAGCCTGTCTGTCATCACTTTGACTTAAATCATTTTGCTTAATTTACTTTCTACGAATCCTGTACTTAAAATAATCTCCGCAAAAATGAAGGTTAGCCCTGTCGCTTAGCTGCTTGCATGGTATTGTACATAATAACCATATAATAGTAATTATTTTCCGTGAACATATTGTGTGTTGTGAGGCTGAATGATATTGGAAAAAGTTCACATTGAGATATTCAGGAGTTAAACATTGACCATATAAACAAACAGAGCTCATTCCCTGTCAACAGTCTGCAAATAAGTTGGTGTCACTGTGAGCTGTGCCAATAGACACAAAGCAATGACGACAAATCACCTGCTTTGCTCAATATCGTCTCCATAGAATAGAAAATATTTCCATACATCGGTAGATTAATGTCTTTTCATAACCAGTTGTTCGCTTTTCACTCATTCACTCATCCTCTTGACTCATTTTTGTGAGCCCAACAGCAATGACGGGAATGATTATGATTGTCTTGGAGAGCCCGTGCAGAGCTCATGCATAAGCAGTAATGGAAAACTTCAGACTGATTTTTCGTTTTTTAACATAGATACATAGAACTAGATAATGTTGAAAAGGAACAACCATTAAAATTGCAAAGCTTGCTAAAGTTTTTGTTTCCTATGACAGAGTAAAAATGTTTTAACACAACTTATTGATGGCTTGAACAGAGCCGAGAATTTGTGTGTGTTTGCATGTTCAGCTAAGTTTGCAAGTTTCCTCTGTGTTTGTGTGGCTTTTTGGCGTATCCTTCCACTGCTGAAAAACATGCAACTTCAGTGAACTGCAGTGCCTAAACTGACCGTATGTGTCAGACTGAATGTGCACCCTGGTTAGTTGGTTCCTGCCTAGTGCCAAATACAATGTAATTATGTTATACAGACGCTCCTCTACTTATGAACTTTCAACTTACGAACTTTCAGGCATACGAACGAAGAGGACTGAAAGTCAAAAATGTGTTCTTTGGGCTCCTGTTTCCTGTCCGCAACATCAAATTTTTTTTCTGCGTGCCAGTTCCGCCTAGTACGACTCCTGGCCGCTACTCCCACCGCGCAGCAGCATAGCGTGCGTACTCCCAGCATCCCAGTTCTTTGTACTTGCGTATGCCCTTAAAATGATGTTGAATAACGACTTATGAACATTTCAAGTCACGAACGGCCGTTCAGAACGTATTTCAGTCGTAAGTAGAGGAGCGTCTGTATTATGTATATAAACAATTTCTCGATGCATGGTCAGATGAATTGTCAAATTACTTGACTGATAGCGACAGCCCTAATTACTTTACTCACCAGACTCCAGTAGTTCAAGGTTCATGGTGGCCCGCCCCCTGGTGGTCATGTTTACTGTTCCAGGCCTGGCGGCACCCCCTTCCCCCTCACACCTGGCTCAGCAGTGCGCTCACAGACAGCTGACCGCTACAGGGATGGAAGAGGAACAAAGAAGTGGTGCATTTTTCCTTTCATCCAATCATTGTGGTCATTCCAGGTGTTTGGAAGGAGAAATCAACAAGTTACCGGAGTTAGTCATGGCTGTAAACCTCCACCTGCCTTATGTTTACATTTTATTCATTTATCTGACACTTTTATTCAAAGCCACTCACTGTAGAGGAAAGGGTTATAATTTATATGCGCTCCTCAGGAGTTGGGCCCATAACCATTGCATTGTTAACACTACAGCTGTACTTGTTGAGCTAAAGGAGCATTCGTCTTGTCTTGCCATTTCTGTAGGTGTGTCCTTCCAGCCTTTCAGGCTGCATGATCAGTTCATGGTTTCTGACCCCCTTTCAGCGTCAATTACTGTCATCGGTAAGAAATCACGTCCTGACCCTGCGTGACCAGAGCACCTTGGATTCTTTGCGGTAACAGATTGCTTTACGGAAACAGGCCGCTTTACGGAAACAGGCCGCTTTACGGAAACAGGCCGCTTTACGGAAACAGGCCGCTTTACGGTAACAGGCCGCTTTTACGGAAACAGGCCGCTTTACGGAAACAGGCCGCTTTACGGTAACAGGCCGCTTTACGGAAACAGGCCGCTTTACGGAAACAGGCCGGCCCTCAGTTACAGGTGGCACACATGCTGCTCTCACTGTCAGGCCCGATCAGCAGACAGCCCATCTCCTAAAGTGCGGGGATTAAGAACCCGCTTAGCAGCCTGCACAGAAGCACAGGAAGGCTCCGCTTAACCTGGCAGCCGGGGTAATCGGCGCTCCCAGGATGCACGTGCACTTTAGCCTGATAGAAGGGGCAACTACAAACCAGCAAGAAAAGAATGCTGGTACACTCTATCACCATTAACCTTTTTCTAATCCTTTTGTGGTGGAATTAAAAACTCTGTGTTATACACAAACCTGCCCCTAGTGCCAAACTGTCAAGTTGTCACCCACAGCTGTAGTTTTTTAATAGTCATGTGACTGATGCTCTGAAATACACAAATGGCTTCTTGAGTTGAAGCAGGGAAAATGGTCTAAACAGAGAAGGTGGCAACCAGAGCCTAGACCCTGGGCTTCAGTCGCCAAGGAGCAGTGCTGAAAGGGGATGAAGGGTCAGGATTAATGCAGAGATAAAGAACCTGGACATACCAAAGAATGAGAGGGAATCTCGCTGCCGGCTGCAGCCTACAAACTGCAGGTCAGTTTGTCAAAACATATTTTGCTACCTGCATCAGTCAGACTCCTACTTGTACCCCCCCAGAGCTTCCACAGAAATAATAGAAATAATAACTAATTCCAAGTTCAATTCAATTCCCTGGGGGAGGGGGGCGGAAGACTCCACAGAGAATGCGAGCCACAGACATGGGTTGGGGAGACAAACGCAACAGGTGCACGGTCCCGCCAGGCCTGGGCTGAGCATTGTGGGACAGAAGCATGGGTGTGCAGACAAAACAGGCGGGCCGAGGAAAGGGGGTGCGGCGAGCATACGCTTAGTATTCATGGGGAAAGGCGGCCAGCGAAATCTGAGGGGCTACGAGCAACTTAACCAACAAAGGCGGGATGGATGAGCACGGACGCTAGGAGAGAAGGCTGGGCCTGACGACACAGGAAGGTGAGCAGGGGGCTGATGACCACCTGAATACAAGTGATACCTTTTATTTTTGCAATTTCCCAGCATCCTCTAAGACACAGGTGTCAGACTCCAGTCCTTGAGGGCCGGAGCCCTGCACATTTTTGGGTTTCCCCTGATTCAACTTCTTGTGCTAATTACCACATAGCTGTTGAGCTGAATCATTTGTGGTGGAACAGGGAAGGAACTAAGCTATACAGGGCCGCAGCCCCCCAGGACTGCAGTTCGGTACCCCTGCTCTAAGAGTAAGAGGAACAGGATTAGGTACCACTGACTCATTTCCAGAGCTTCAACTAACATGTCCGTATTTTCTGCTAATTTCAGCCCTCTGGGGGGTCTTTAGGCACCCCGTGAAATACCCAAAACCAGAGGGGGGGGGGGGAGGGGTCACCCCAGCCCAAACCTCTTGTCTAAAAAGAGGAGAGACCCCGGCATTCTTATAGGAAAGCGAGAGCTAAAGCCAGAGGGAGGCACCCCACCCCCTTCAAAAACTAGGGTCACACTATTAGATTTAAAAAGGCACATTTGTGACACAGGCCACAGTTAATGCCAGCCGACAATGACAACACTTTCGGAAAGAGCACATTTTGACTTACGTAAGGTTTTAGACTGACACTCATTCTCTTGAATTTCCCCTATACAAATCCATCATACCCTGACACATCAACCTCCATTTTTCACTCACAGAAAACTCACAGCCATCAGAACAAACGTAAAACACTGCCCGTCAACCACAGTAAAAATAAAAGTAAATACAAAAAGAAAAAAAAAAAGGGAGGGGGGGGGGGACGGAGTGTTTATGCAACAGCACACTCCCGTGCAGAGGAGGGAGGAGGGAGAGAGGCCAGTGGTCACAGGCTGCATGTAAAGCTCAGACCTGCTCCATTCAGGCTCTCTGTCAGGCTGTCTTTGTCACTGCTGATATCTTTATTAATATTGAAATGAGCCTCAGGCAGCTTGTCTCTGCTAGCCTCTCATTCAACCCATCCTCTCGAAACAATGAGCCAGGATTAGAAACAACAACAGAACCACATCAGGAAAACTTTCTTTGTGCTCAAAACTTAGGCCCCATTCCGATTGCAGAAAACACAAAAGGAGGAACGGAGATGCAGACAAACAGGCGATTCCATCAAACATTTCACAACCGCAGAGAATTCTGCGTTCTGCCCATGAAATGCATATATACTGTATTACTATTAAAACTGTTACCGGCAGTTACTCAGATTTCAATATGCAAATCTCCTTCTTATCTTAAAATATTCCACAAATGGCTAATACACTGCCTCTCATGCAATAGTATACACGTCATTCACAATGTTTGATTTTCCTTTATCTGAAGCAGAAGACTCAGAATCCAACCTCTGTGTTTTTGAATGCAAGTTTCAAATGTCTGAAATTTTGTGTGAAAGTGGCCCAATTCCAAAAGGAAATCTTTTCCGCACCCCCCCGATACCAGCTGACTGCCTCAGTCCCCCCTCCCTTCACCACCATGGGACCAGTTTTTTGAACTCGTATCACTAGTTTGCTAGTTTTACTGGAATAACACTCTTTACAATGGACAGCAAAACCTTTGTAATGGTTGTATATTTTTAAGTTTATTTTTTGAATGAACCTATGGCTAAGCTGAATCGGGCAGCAATTTTCCCCCTTAGTATAACAATAATAGTTTTCCTGATATATAAATATTTCAACTTTTCGACCTGATTTTAAGGAAGGATTTAAACTCATATATCAAGGGAAAGATACAGGCAGTCGACAGATTACGAACGAGATCCAATCACCAAGTCGGTCTTTAAGTCAAACTTGAAAGTAAGTTGGTAAAATTATAATGTATATTATTATTATTATTATTATTATTATTATAAAAAAATGAATACAGTAATTTAACAAATCCACATACGGCACTGTACTGTACCTCGAGCAGACGAACTGCTGAACCCACACAATGTTTTCTCGAGCGTCACAAAGTAGCGTGTGCGTTCGTTATCATGAACCATTTTATTACACCTGAATTTTTTATATAATAGGCTTTATGATAGTCCATTCATAAGTATGAGTTGTCCGTATGTCAGGCTTTCTTTACCTGGGGCCTGCCTATTTAACTGATTTTTGTGACCAAGAGTCAAGTTTTTTTCTTTGAAACCTTGTTTTTTCTCAGGACATTAGCATAAATGGTCAAACATCATGCCAAGTGATGTGTGAAGGACTGCATTTACAATTAGGTATGGTTAGGTTAACATCGAACAGTTAACCAAGTTACATCTGACATGATAAGATATAACTATGGTATGATGAATAAGCAATGTGTCACAGGTGAGGAACAGCTTGTTTACTCAGGTTCACCAAAAAGAGAACCAGACAAAACTTAGTTTCATTAAGAAGGGAGGACAGTATGATTTATATGGAAGGAGTGGAATGACAGGTAGGCTAAACAGCCTTATGCAGTAACACCAAATCCACTTTATCTAAAACATCAGAAAATATATGTGTGATCAGCAAATCTAAGACAGTGAGCTTAAATGATTTTCAGCATGAAGGAGAAGTTCCTAAAAGAATCTACGAAAGGTGGGGGATTTTCTGAAAGCACTTATTCATTTACGGATTTGATTTTGAAGTTTCCCTGTGTGACGAACTTCCTGATATTCTAACTGCTAATATTCTGATCAAAATGGATGCCAACTGTTCAGCCTAAAGTTTATGAGAAGTGTAAGCATTCTAGTAACCTTAAGGCTACATTATAGTCATTGAGACATTGCTGCTTACCAAAGAATCGGGCCATTGTGAACACATTAAACTACTGAATTTTGCCACAGTCAGTTAACTCAATTCACCTTCATGCATTCATACAGAGTTAGAATAGGTTAACATTGTAACCTAATACTAAAAACAATATGGATTGATAGAGAGGTAAACTGTATCTCCAAACAATATATTCCAAATAATTAGTTTAGATCAGGGGTAGGTAACCCTGATCCTAGAATGCTGGTATCGAACAGGTTTTCCAGCCTATCTGATGAGTTACTGCCTGAGATCAGGTGTGGTTCATCAGAGACCAGGTAGGATGGAAAACCTGTTGGACAGCGGCACACCAGGATCAGGGCTGCCTACCCCTGGTTTAGATAATGCTTTAAAATTGCATGGAAATGCTAAATAATTCTGCCAACTGTAATTCAACTATATGTAAACATTAATTTATTTTCATTCATTCATTTTCCTACCTGCTTTATCCTATTGGGTCACGGGGGGTCCAGAGCCTATCCCGGAAGCAACGGGCACGAGGCAGGGAACAACCCTGGACAGGGGGCCAGCCCATCGCAGGGTGCACTCACACACCATTCACTCACACATGCACACCTATGGGTAATTTAGTAACTCCAATTAGCCTCAGCATGTCTTTGGACTGGGGGGAAACTGGAGTACCTGGAGGAAACCCCACAACGACACGGGGAGAACATGCAAACTCCACACACATGTGACCCAGGCGGAGACTCAAACCCGGGTCCGAGAGGCATGAGGCAACAGTGCTAACCACTGCACCACCATGTCGCCCTATATGTAAACATAGTGCCTACAAAACTAATACTTGAAACACATACTTCTACAAAAGCACACAAATGAAGATGGAATATTTTAGAGAAAATAATTTTTTTCACACAAAATACAAGTCACGCGTGTGACCCAGGCCACAATTCTCAAACTTGGCACATGTAGTGTCCTGACTTATGTTCCACTTTAATGAGATTTGATTGAGACAATAAGAAATAATGATGCAGAATACTGTAACTAATAAGTGCCATAAAAAAAAGAGCAATACCAGTACAATGGAACTAGAAGTTCAATCCATTAACGGAATCTGGTTAATTTTTCACATCCAGGCAGTGCACTTTGATATTAATAAGTATCATTCAATAATTCAGTCATCTAACTCTTCAGTTGATATACACTAAAAAGAAACATCATATTTACATTAGAGAATGTTCACTATTTTAAGTTATTTTTGATTTCTTTAAAGTTTAATCATTACTTTAAAAATCTGTCAAAAGGTATTCAGAAATGTGTCAGAGAATCTAAGACTGTGGGAAAAGTAGTGAAATTGTTCGATGATTCTTCAGACTCCAAGAGTGTCAAGTGGAACAAACCAAACATATAACCTTTAGCTCACAGATTGTAAAATCTTGTTTTGTTATACGTTACGAATTTTTTTGTAATCTTAATCTTTTTTGTTCAACTCGCAGCTCGTGAAAATGTCTGTTATCTCGGTGCAATAAATACTGACGAACTTTGCACGGAGTTTGCTGAGCTGTAGTGAAGCAGGACCCGACGCAGATAGACGATCCAAATTACTGCCCTAATTAACGTCCTACCAAATCTGTCCTCCGCCCAAGGAGTGAACATGTCGATTCAACACAGTAACATGACAGTAAGATCCAAAAATGCATACAATCCGAAATTACCGAACGTTCACTTAATAACCTAATATTAACTGTAACGATGAAGAAACAACGATTATTCTTATAAACTATTAATTCCTTTATTAATGACATGGCATTGTGTCAAGTGTTTGTATAATTTTACAGGAAAAGCGCTTGATTCTATCGGTAATTACCGCAGGATACTGTCTCGTCCCTAAGAAGTTTACTGGCTCTCAAAGGCTGCACGAATCGACAAGACACGATGATAAGGTCTTGACACGGTGCGCTAATCTCAACACACACTATTCTCAGCGATAAACTATCAAAATAATATCTTACGCCGCCATTTTAATGCTAGTACAACATAAGATAAAGTTATTTCATGTTGGCTGTCGGTGCTTCTGCATAACACGCACAGAGTGCATACGTAGCAGGTGTGATATCAAAAGTTAAATCATTAGTAGTCAACAAACTACTCGACCCGAAATGCCAGTAAGTGAAATACTATGGAATTTATTCTATTCGTCACCCAGACGTGCTAGTAGGCAGCGTAGCTGGTTGGCCGCACTCCGTTTATCAAATTATTTCGGAGGATTTAAAGTAAAATTGAATACAAATTTGGAAAAACAGAAACCATCCAGTCGCTGGTAAATAATGACACATTCGGGGTGTAACAGCGTAAATGCGGCTGCTTGATTTCAGTGCCATACAGCAGCTACACAGACAGCGATCGCGCAACTTTCACACCATAATATTCCTACAAGCAACGTGCACGAAGCGATTAAAAGAAAAAATGGTCGCGTATTCAACGACTGGCGTTTTTTATGATTTTTTTTCCCACATGACTGTTCGTGCATCGCAACCCGAGAAACTGCCGGGAGCGGCTGCGGCGGCTGGATGGGGAGTCCCCCCGGTACACCGCTCACAGTTAGCGCTTATGACCAACTTACTACAACGTCAGAGCTCCTGCTTTTGGCGATAGGGGCGCTTGTTCTCGCTTAAACCCCAAACATCGTTAATTTATGAACGGGGGGAAAAAGACGCGACGCTCAAAAAAAACGCTAAAGATCGCTTTCGCCAGTTAGCACGTATTGTGATCTAGTGAAATAATTACGTCTCCGACGCGTGTCTGACCTGCTCTGAGTTTTTCCAAGTAGATTTCAGATGCTGTATCTCCGCTCGCCTCGCCGATGACTGCCTCGTTTCAATATGGCACAATTCGTCACTGCGCATGGGCAACCTCTAATACACAGCCACTTTCCGAAACTGGGGCTGCCAGGAACACACTCCGCTTCGCGCGGCAGAGCAGGACTTCCTTACGTCCAATTACGCACAATAAAACAGCAAATCAGTAAGCCATATTTAAACAAAGGGAAAAAGATGCCCACTGCTTGTGGCAGGGCATATATGTATTTTGAAGTAAAAAAAAAAAAAAAAACAAGTGCACTGTCTTTCAGTGTCGTTTATTCCTAAAGCACACGTCAAGTGCATTGCTCTACTAAGAACAAATGCAAGATCCACCGTAATTTTAACACATACTTGTGTTGCACGATATAATTAAGATTGTCTAGTCAGAGAACAACATTTTACATGTAAAGTATTATTTCTTTGGTGAGTAAAAATATTGCAAGGCGTTTTGTTCCTTTTTTCCTTTCTGTTTTTTGTTTTTTCATTTATTATTATTATTGTCATTAAGTTCTGGTTTCAATTCCGCATTGGCCAGCCTCTCCCGGAATATTTGAAAATAAATCTTTAGAAAAGTCATAAAACGAGCAACTTAAAATTCATTTTGTCCAATACAGCCTAAATTAGGCGAGTGTGCGCATGACTTAAGTGCTTTCGTTTCTCATGGTGCAATTCGTGAATAATAGCAATAATGTACAAATGTTCTCTATAATCATCATAATGGATGATATACGCCAGTAATATTTTCCCCATTGTACTACATCGCTTGTGAATACGGTATGTATATATATATATATATATATATATATATATATATATATATATATATATATATATATATATATTACACACACTCACAATTACACACAGGTCATATGCAATTACGGCGCGCTTGCAGACTATAGGGATTAACTATTCAAACACGAAAATGTGGGTCGAGCATAACACGTGTCTCGAAGATCCTATTCGTGTTTCGTTTTCACTATAATCGCTCGTTTTTTCCCTGCTCTAGAACCTTCGATTCATTACGTTTTTGTCGTACAGGTCAACTATGCTTTAAGAATCCGTACTGCATACTTAAACAAGGAAAAATTGAGCGCGTAACTATTGACCATGTTGGTTTGTGCATTTTGCATATCAGATGTCATAAATTAAACTTTGAAGAGGGATTTAATGTAACATACAAACATTAATCACTTAAAGCCATTATAAGTATTCTGAACGTCTATAAATTTATACAGGCACAAACAAAACATTAGCCTACTTGACTTATGTTACGCACCGTATGCAAACGTGCAAAAGAACGTCCGTACTTGTTGACAAATAACATGAATAGATGAATATGTTGTAAAAATACTTTTGGAGTAAGTCGGGTTTTCCTTGTGAATTTGAGGGGGCTTTATTTAGTTTTTTATATTCAGCCTTAGAAAATAGGCTATGATTACTTAATAGTCATCAGGCTCGCGGAAATCGATTTGGATCGTATGTGCGTATCCACTTCTGGTCAGGTTCAAAGACACGGAGACAGGTTGTCTTGGTGTGCACGGCACATAACTGTGGGTGTGTTACAATTAAATATGTAAACATCAAGCGAAAAGCAATAAGAAGCTAGTTATAAAACACACAACAAAACATCAAAATCTGCCATAACTGGTTCTCTTTCATATCAAAGGTACACAGCGCACACACACACAAACCTACAGCTCAGATGGGGTGTCTGTCAGTTTCACACACATGCACGCATACTCACACATTCACTCGCAGCTCGATTTTTGTGTCACCTGTCCAATTTTAAAACAATGTATATTCAATCATTAAAAGTAGCTGTTCCAACATTCCAAGTTACATGCACAAGAACACCACAATATTTTGTTATATGGAAATATTTAAGTGAAGCATACTGCTTCTCACTGTTTGCCAAATTCTGATAAAGACATTGATGTACTGTACTTTTGTGTCAAACATTATCATATGATGTGAGTAATTGGTTTTAACATTCATTTGTGATAACCCAAATGGTACATTCTGCAGGTATTATAGAACTATTACTGAAACCATTACTGCGTGGGATATATTTTGCATATAATAAACCTGGACCCAGCTGTGCGTCTAATTATTTCCAAAATAACCCATGCATTTTTATTTAGTGCTTAATCTAATAATTTGTTTTTCGTTATCACTTACAAAGACTGCAGCCCTCCACTCTTTTTCATGGAGTCCCGCACACTGTCAGTTGGAGAGATATTAGCGGAAGTAGGTCTGACCGTTCCGTTTCCATGGCAACCACATCATGAGCAGTACTGTGTGTTGGGGGTGGGGGAGGCGGGAAACTCGAGGCTGCGCTGCGTGCCGGCGGTACTTCTCCGCTTTGTTGCCGTTGTCGTGAGACAATAACCGCACCTCTTAGTAAAATCGTGAAGCATACATAAACGCCTTTTTTTCTTAATTAAAATGACCAAATATCTGAATCACTGAAGTTAATTAAGGTGGGAGGTGACTTATGGTATCATTTTAATTATTAATTAGAGACTGAATTTCCATTCAATCAAACAATTTCCGATCATTCAGGGTAACCAATATGCGGGGATAAGGTGATAAAAGGATTATTTACAAATAATTTAATTCATAACCAAATCTCGTTTTTCGCACATGGAATAGTCCATTTTACGAATAACCTATATTTCACATTGTCACTATTTTTAGGCCAATAATGCTTGAGAACTGAACATTTTTATTCAGGCTAGTTCTATTAATAATAATGAAACTGCAGTATTTAAACAGGCTATCCCCCAAAATAAATTAAGGATATGTGTATATGCCAGTATAATAACGTGGCATTTTAATGGAAATACCATTTTAGTTAGATGAATGGATATGTCTGGCAGAAAAAGTAGGCCTATCTCTTTGTCGTTGTCTTAAAATGTAAGGTTGCACGTATACAAATCACTCATTAATAAGATCAAAAGCCTTATGTGTAAAATGCAATTGGCCACATTTGTTCAAAATATTATACAATTCAAACTGTTTTGTAAACATAGGCCGGGTGTCATTATTGTTTTGAATATAGTATTTCATCCAGCCAAGTGAATTTTAATGCAGGTTGTTCAGATAGATCCACTTATAACTATTCAATACCTACTGCGAAGTCAGTGGCTACGACATGGTTTGGGAAACTTAATAAAGACGGGAGAACTGGCAGACTTCAGATCGCTACAAATTGCAGGATCGCCCACAAATGAACTCGTGATCTTATCACCACCTATAGGCCAACGGATGACTGCTAGGTGTCCCGTAAATTGCTGCCCCCAGCACCGTGCACTCCCAGGTATGCTAACGCAAGCAGCTGTCCCGTATCTTCTCTGCTGGCTGCACATTATGCAGTTTATTTATTTCAAACAAGCAGGACCGCGCGTGCATCGCCTTGCACAGCACCTGTTCTCCCAGTTCACACCAAACATGAAACAGGCTCATCAATTCAGCTTTAACGGTAACTTATTCGCACCGAAAACACATTATTATACATTAAGGATTATTATATCTATTTCATTTGTAATATTTTGCTAAGCAGAACAATGGGATCAATAAACAGGATAATTAATTAGAAATCAACTACCATATACATTTATTGCTCGAATACTTTCAGGTATACAAGCAATTACAGATCGGGCCAGGAATGCTCATATATAATCTTCAGTGGTATAAATGTGACTATACTGGAGACTTTCTTAGACTGAACGATGAGTAATTCTGGCACCGCTCTTTCAAAACCGTTTTCTGTGTTCCGGTTTTTTTCTGTCTTTCTGCGCCAAAATAAATATCCCCGTTTAGTTAAACATTAAAAATTCAGATAATTTTTCAGATAGTAAAAAAATGAAATGCTTTAGTGTGAATGCATAACTAAAACCTAAACATTCATAAAATTATGTTGCACTAGGTAAGGTTGAATGTCGATTTTAAAAGGTAGGACTACTTAGCATTATTAACCCTTGCGTACATATCTCGGATCCCTAACGACACGAACGTCGTGTGTACAGGTCTCCTGGGGTCATATGATTTATATTCAACCCTGTTCCCTAGGCATGCCATCCACTTTTTATATGCAACAATTTACTACCAAATTTATGGCGGAATAGCTTAAAATTGTTTCATGGTCATATATTTTCCAAAAAAAACTGGGTCGCTAATACGGTCTCAAAGCTATCAATTTAATTGAGGAATGTCTTTTGGTAGCACTGTGACTCATAAAGTATTACTGCAGTTTCACACCCAAATAGCTTTGGGTTCAAATCCCTCCCCTGTTTGTGTGTGCTGTTTCTCTGTACTTCCTCTGTGAATTCCCTCTGGATACTCTGGTTTCATCCTACAGTCTAAAAACATGCAGTTAGGAGAGTCTCCACACCGCTGGCAGCAGTTGGATGTGTGCTCGTTAATGTCCTGGTATGCAGTGTGTGTTGTACTCTGTCCTTTATGATATAGGCTGACTGTCACCTTGTACTAGCTCAGGTGAATGCATATCTTATTTTGCTTAGTTATTTGATGGGAAAAAATCAAATTTTGACTGAAAAAACAACAACACGCCTGATTCATCCTCTGATTCACGCAGGAAATTTGTCAACACTGAAAACCTCTCCGGGCCAGATCTCTGCATATTGCCAGATGAGCTCTCTCAACACTATGCAGCATGGCAACTTAACTTACTACAAGTGTATAGTGATTAAAAAGATAGAGGAGGAGTAGGACTTCGGCTCAGTGGGCAGCACTGTTGCAGCACACATCCTGGCTTCGAGGTGTGAGGACCTCTTCCACTTCATTGGGTTTGCAAGTTTTCTGTGTGTCATGCGTGTTTTCTCCAGCAGTCCCACAAATATGCATTTAGGTGAATAGGTTTAAATATATGATCATTTGTATATTTCCTTTTGTGAAGAACTGGCCTTCAGCCTAGGCTACTGCCCTATGCTGCTTAGAACACCCCCCGTGACACTGAGCGGAAGAAATGGCTGAAAGATAGGTGAATATAAATGAGAATCGGGTATTTATCAAATTGATTGCCTATTATGGAAACTTTCAGAAAATTTTCAGAAACAAATGAAAAATCAGTCATATCTTTGAAAACGATCCAAAATGTCGTTGTACAGTATGTCAACTTTATTTATTATTTATTGGTTTCACAAACTCAAATATTCAGCCATAAAATTTACACTCAGGGTACACAAACTTTTGGTCTGTGCCCTCAGCGTTACTTATTCAATGGCGATCTCTTGCGAACAGAAAGACAACACCACCTGCTGTCAAACTAGATACACTGCTGCACAAGCCAGCCCATTACGTTGCATGGAATTAGCAGATCCAAAAACGACGCACGAGGTTTGCATCTGAATCACCCATCCATCTATTTTCTCTAACCTATGGGCGCAAGGCAGGGAACAACCCAGGATGGGGTGCCAACCCATCACAGGGCAGAGTCACACACGCACACCTACGATTACCCGGAGGAAACCCCACAGCGACACGGAGAGGATATGCAGACCCCCCACGCCTGGAGCCATGGCGGAGACTCAAACCCTGGTCCCACAGGAGTGAGGCAACAGAGCCAATCACTGCTCCACCGTGCACCGCCGCCCCCTGCAGAACCATTTATACATACATTTACTAAAACAATCTTTACACTCGAAAACGGCAAAGCGCAGTAAATTCCATAAACATGTTTTGTCAGATATTTCAAAAACAACAACAAAAAAACATGTCTGCATGCCACAACTGCAATATACGAATTTTTGTCTGCACAGCGTCGTATATGTTCGTATATGAGACAATTGTGAACGGTCAGTTGGCAACTGCTAGTCTTTATTATTAACTGTAGGGGTTCATTTCCTTGTCCTCATCTATGGTCTCAGGGCGACTATAACCTATATAGGCGACAAAGGCGGCCGCCTAGGGCACCATCTTCTGAGTGGGTGCCGACTTGGTTGCCAGTTTCACTCAGCGAACGGAAGGGGGGCGGTTATGCGCGCCTAGGGCTCGTGAGCTTTAATTTAATGTACTTTTTCCCTATATTCAGAGGAAACACAATAAAGAATTGGTCTTATAAATCTATGATATACATAGGTTTCTGGGGGGCGGGCAGTGCCTCCGTGACAACATGCATGCATTTTATATGTGGGCTAACATTTTGTGCGCTGGGAATAGGCGAAACACGAACTCTAAGGACATTTTCTTGACGGATTCTTAATGCGGGTGCGCCGGGTGGTCAAGTGCCCTCAGTTGGTGGAAAGCGAAGTTAACGAGAGAGGCAAGGTAATCAAGCTTGGAGAAGCACGACAGTCTAAACAAGAAATCAGATTGAGTTACACACTTGACGACTTGTGGAAACTGTAAAATGTAACTGCAAAGCACTGCATAAATAACATCGGTTTTGCTTCTTAATGCTGGCAATCTAGGGTAATTAAGTAATACTTGGAGGACATTAAGGTCAAATGAATCTGCCCCCCCGCAAAAAAGAACAATCAAGTGTCCCCAGCCTCCTCCTCCCCCCCCAGTTGAAATGGTCTAGAACCGCAACTGTTTGTTGCTGCTGAGGGCAGCTGCGCTTGGTGAACAGGGGGCAGGCATCCAAGCTTTTAGGTTGTTTGTCTTCAAAGTCAGGATTGCATCATCAGATGTTGGTTTCTGAGAGTTACAGACCAAGGGTTAACGGCAGAGACTTTGTAGGTTTGTTTAAACCAAATCAAATGCACCACAAATGGTTGGAGTATAATGCTATAAATGCTGAAGATATGTAGGCCTAGGGAACATCCATGGTGTAAAATTCAATTTGAAATGTTTTTTGTCACCTTGGACCTACATTGTTAGGCTGTTTCAGGGGTCTGTTATTTCTTTAGGAGTAAAGACTGCAGCAATAGTTGAAATTTTGCGGTTAATCTTATCCCTGGAATGGAGTGTTCTGGATTGTGTTATATAGGACACAGTCTATTCCCACGGCCGGGGATTATAGAAGTAATATTTTAAATTTAAAGACATGAAATTCATTACAATCCACAAATGTAGCCTAGCTTCAGGCAAGAATACAATCGTAATAGTTCATCTTGCTGACATTCATCTATTATAATTAACTTCCTGCAATAGTATTTGATAAAATATTTATGTTCAACTACAGTAAAGTGCAACATCGTCTCTTAATAATGTTAATATTATCTAGTTTTGGTACCGCGTGATGTGTTGTCTTTATTACCACCTATTCCCTACTTTGCACCAGCAGGCAAGACAGTTTTTAAGAAGAGAAAAATGAATGATTTAACTTAATCATGACAAACACACTAAGAAGCGCGCGGCCATTTTTATGCAACCGATTTTGGAAGGAAATCTGCAGACTTGTGATGCCGCGCTGCTCATTGATTCAAAACAATAAATATTGCTTCCCATTGTACAAGAATGCTGCGCTTTGTCCATACTATATCAGCACTCTGTAAATGTTTTAAATAATGTATATGGTATAATATACGCAGTATATAACTGGCAGAGATACTAGCATGACGTACTGGTATTTAGACTTGCAATGGTGGCACGCAAAAACGTAATCTTATTTTCAGAAAGATTAATCGTCCTGGTCATCATCTACAAAACACGAGTAGCCTATGAGCAGAAACTTACCACAGAATGGATTGCATCTTTCTTTTCGACCTCTACATTTCATTTAATCAAAGCATCTATAATACATTAATTATAGGATGCAAATGATAGAGGTGTGCAAATATAAAAGCATTAACTCTGATTACTGGCCTACAAACTGCCGTATACGGTCTCAGCATGATCTGGATAAAATAGTTTTTTTTTTTTTAATTGTAGCCACCACATAAAAATTTAAGTTCTCCTTTTAAATTATACATAATTTCTACATCTATTCATTTTCTTTACTCGATATTCTTCCTTACGGGGTTTTGTGACGAAGGGTAGCATGTATCCTATTAGTATTTCCATGTATATCACATGCTGTGACACTCCTTAAGAACCATTTTATTTACAGTGTCCTTGGTCTGCATTAATTTAACACTACAGCTTTCATCTTTCACAACTTGTTCTTAATGGGCATTAACAGTAAACGGCAGATTCTTAATTAACAAACACGAAACACGCCGCGATCCTGACCAAATAAAGCGGTTAGAAATTCGATGGTTCGGCGGATAAGACGAAACAAATTAGCGAAGGGAGTCCGCGTTTATTCCACACATATGCGCGTCGTGTTGCTCTACAGCGCCATTATCTGGCCTGTTTCAGAGGTTCATAGCCGCTGTAAAGAACCATTTATTGGTTTATTTAGCAATTTCATTTCATGACTTTTTATGTTAGAAACACTAACATGTGATGTTCATTTACGCAGTTGTGGGCACATTATATAGAAACACCATGTGGGACTGTGATGGTATTATGTAAATTAAGTGAAAGAATTTAAGTTCTGTACTTGGTACTGGCAATTCTTTTAATTAAAAAAAGGTCTTAAATTCCATCGCCTCTTTATTTGGATTACACATCTGTAGAGGTTCCCGTCTCATCTGGCTTTTGAAATTAGTAATACGTTTTCTTTCAGGTAACTGATGCTGTTGGCTATGCGAAGTGTCTCAGTTTTGGTGGACTAACGACCCTCAGACCCTGCAGCTGGACAGCATTACATGCAGAGCCTGGACTTTAAGACTCTCTGCTGGCATCATCCTTTATGCCAGTTCAACAACATACTTACCATAGATGTACCTCCAGCCGTTTTTATTCACTTAACACGCAGCATTATTCAGTGCGACGATATTCAGGGGCATCGCTAAAAATTTTGGGCCCCATGAAGGCATATTATATTGGGCCCCCAAGTCCAGACGAATCCAGTTCATTTACAATTTCTTTAGGGCCCCTGAAATCGTCTTAACTATCCTGATGGCACCCCTGTGTGTATTAAAGGAGAATGGCAGTGAGAGGGTGGGGGCAGAACGTCCACGAATGAACACTCAAGGAACGAGCAACCAGCACCAGCTGTCCACCAGCCAGTGCAAGGTAGGGCTTTAGAATAACGCTTTGCACTGCTGAATTTTCCATATGATGGGGCACTGTCAGGTCGTTTTGGAGTCATACAGTTGTTGATACCGTTGGGCAGGTAGGACATTCACTGCATTTAAACACCGATTCATAAATTGTGGGCTTTCACTTTCCCTCCATTAGCCACTGGAGCAGATTCTGACCAGTCATCATAACCTTTCCATCCATCCTGAAGAGAGAACCGTACAATGAACGTTTTACAAAAGGAAGTACATATGGCTGTCTGCATGTTACCCCACATTCAGTCATAGCCTGTTTTAGGCTTTGTCAAATTTCGGAATTAGAAAGTCCCTGCGGTTATATGACTGGGTATGGTATACAACCGCAGTTTGTAGTTGGCTTTTAAAAGCAAAAGAACAAGTTAAAGTTTAGACTTTTATTAAGATGTAAAAGATGGGGAATAATAAAAAGAACATCTGTAGGTAAACAATACATGTTGGAACACATATATACATATTATACTGTATCTTATTAAAATAAGTACATTCAAGTAATAATGTACGTACATACTCATATCCCAAGCACAAAGTCTAACTCCAGGTTCTGTCCAGGGGGTATTGCACATTGCTACATGAAAGTAGCAAATAGTTAATTTTTTTTCTTTTATAAAAAATAACCACATTTATATATAAATTTTAGCTTGAGATTTCACAAGTCGCAAACATTGGTATTTCAGGTGTAATTTTAAAAGTTTTGGAAAGGAACGATCCACTGTGTACAGAAAGTGTCAGGTTTGTAAACAAGAGGCTTGTTACATATCCCATTTTGGATAGCCTGCATTGTTTTGTTATGGGGAAGAGGCATGATGGGGGAAAAAGATAGGGCCCCTGATGATGCAGAGCTCCACATGGCCTGATGGCCTCCTTACATGTGGTGAATACAGTTATACTGAATACTCCTGTGCTTTCCCAGCAGAGACCTGGGAGATCATCACCTTGGGGTCAGCCATTTCCCCAGATACGGGCCCCTTACAGTTCTTGCTCAAGCGGTGTTCTCTAACACCCAATTCCCTTACACACACATGCCTGAATACAAATAGGAAACATAAACGTCGCACATCCAAACATAAACATGAAACAGCTACCTGTACAAAGTCCTGTTTCTTATCTGAAGTAACAGGGAGGGTGTGTGTGTCAAGGCATGATGAAACAGAGTACACTAAACATTTTCATCAGCTGAAAGTTTGATCACAGGAGAGGAGACCTTGACAGATTGACTGGAACACCGGCTTCATGTTTCTCTTGAAACACAGAGTGCTACAATGGGACTTTGGGTCATCCTTCAGTTCTCCAGCAGGTGCTCCATTTTAAGGTTGATAAATGAGAAGCCAGAGAAAGCAGCCTGGTCCATAGAATCAATGAAGTTCTTGTCACTGTGAGAGAGGCGCGGTTTCTCATTAAGAAACTCCCGGTCGAAGTTGCTGCAGTCGTTGGGAGCTTTCTGTAATTGATAAAAGAAATGTGAGGGTTTTTTCTGTATAGATTTTAAACTGATAGTAAAAGAGTGACATCTGTTTTGAATCACATCGGTCTATCGATTTCAAACTAGATTGCAATAATGTGACTTCTAAATATACAAATAAAAGGGAACGTACCACTTTAGGCTTGAAGGGGGGCTCAATCTCCCTCCTCTCCAAGGCAGACCAGTTAATGGTCCTGAAGAAAGTCTGGGCACGTATGTTACCAACAATGCCAAGTCTTCGAGTGGGATCACGCTCAAACAACTGGGGAAGGAAAAAAAAAAAGACAAACTGAGTAGAAACCAAGATGCTGATTTATAAAAGCTATTTCATATAATGTTGATAGCATGCAGAAGAGAAAAACAGAAAATGGACAAACCCTCTCCAGCAGGTCTTTAGCCTCCTTTGTAATCCACCGTGGGTACAGAGGAGTGTCCATGCGGATGGACTCGAACAGTTCATCCTCATCATCGCCATGGAAGGGGGACTGGCCAATTAACATCTCGTACATGAGCACACCGAATGACCACCAGTCCACTGAGAAGGAGTACTTCTGTCCCAGCAGGATCTGACGACACACAAGCATAATCTGTCTTTCTTACATCTCCACGGTAACAGATTTACAGACTCCTGAGACATGGCAGGATCATGGAACTATTTGACAATTTACATTATGCGTAATGCAGAAACAAATTTATTATTTAAGTAAAATATTCAGCGCACGTTTGTAAATGAATATTTCAAGGATAAAACGTTTCCTCACCTCAGGAGCAATATAATCTGGTGTTCCACAGAAGGTTGTGGCCCGATTCTCCCCAAACACATTCTCTTTGCACATGCCAAAGTCTGCTATCTTGATGTGTCCATCTCGATCCAGCATTACATTGTCCAGCTTCAGGTCCCTAAAGAGAGGGAAAGAAGATGAAGAAAAAGGAAGAGACAAAGAGAGGGCAGAGTAAACACAAAGAACAGGAAAATGAAGACAAACAGACTTTCAGAAGTGCAGCTGTTTGGTGCCTAATTGAATTGAGTAGATGCATTAGGGAAGTTGAAACCAACAGTAACAGAGAAACAGACAATAAATGAGTATGATGTAGACCTGCTGTTCACAGTGTGGTGTGCCTGCACACTAGGCTGAACACAAAGAATGCACTTATATGTCACCAAAGGTTCAAAAACATAGCCATTTCACCTGTAGATGATGCCTTTGGAGTGGAGAAACTGTAGACCACAGATGATCTCAGCTGAGTAGAACCTAACAGAAGAGGAGAGATTAGTCCACATGCAAGACATGAGAAGCAGAGGAAAGCAACCAGGCCACTGCTGGTGTCGGGTTTGACCCCAATGGGATGAATAATTCAGGAGAGTGTTTATCTCCTCCAGTGAACAGGTAAGACTTCTCTTGACAATGAGCATTGTTAATGGGCGCACAATTGGCCACCTGCTGGACAGGTAATGCCTTGCGTTCATTTGCCAGTCAGGTGAAATTAAAAACAAGTAATCTGTGAGGGTGAACAATTGTCAGAAGTTGTATATTTAGGTGAAAAGAGGTGAGACGGAAAAAAGAATGTGTGCATTCACCCGCACAACTGGTAACAAGATTTGAGGTCATTATGTCTTCTGCCTCTAGAGGTCAGCACATCACAATGTTGATGAAGACACAAAAGAAAACCCAAAACCAAGAAACATGGGATTTTCCAAGACAGGAATAGAAACAAATTTTCTTAGTGAATATATTGAAACATCATCTTTTACCAGACTAGAGAACAGCTAGAGGACAAAAGACGAGAGGTTTTCCAGTCGCTACTGTAAGTGCAGAGGCTCCAACGTTTAATATGGAAGGAGAGAGACAGACTGGAAAATGGGCTGGTATCCTTATGGGTTTGAGGGTAAAGGGAAGCAGACACCATATATCTTATTTTGTTTCTCTAGACTTGTTTTTGTGGAAAGAGTTTATAGACATTTTAATTTGATTTAGAGGATAGATGACCACAACCATAATCTTCTGATCAAACATCATACCTGCCAGCATGGGTTTCTCATATTATTCCATACCCCCTCCAGATCAGGGATAGTCAACCTATTCGTTAACGGACAAACATGTCCATATGCAACACTAATCTGTATCCATGCCAAAACATTCTGATTGAGAAAAAAAAACTATGTATTTCTAAAAAAAAAAAAAAATACATTTTGGTCTAAAAGTCCATCAAATTCTGACATTGTGTTGATCCCTGCTCCTAATTTACCATTTCTCCTGATAAACTCCAGATTCCACATTTACACGTTTATGATTTTGAGAATGCGCCCCCTCGGCAAATTTTATAGCTGGGGACCCAAATGTTGGCAGCTATGTAAACACTAACCATATCGCTATTTCTTATCACTCTAGGACAGGGGTGGCCAATCTTATCTGCAAAGGGCCGGTGTGTATGTGGGTTTTTGCTGCAACTCCCTAGATTGCTAATTAGAGGACTGATTGGCTGAAGAGTCCTCACACCTGGGCTTGAACAGCTGACCTACAGGTTATTCCAAAAAGCTGCCTACACTCCGGCCCTTTGCAGATAAGCTTGGCCACCCCTGCTCTAGGATAAAGTTGATATACGGCTCTCAGACCAGACCACACCCCTTCCTACAGGAGTAGAGTAGTACTAGATCAGGTCCTATTGACTGATAGAGAGGTAATGGAGGAGCTGGGCTCATTTCGGCTGGGGAGGGTACTCACGTGGCTCTGCTTAGATCAAAGCGTCCCTTCTCCTGTATGTGAAACATTAGGTCTCCTCCATTGAGGTACTCCATCACAAAGAACAGGTGCTCCTGCGGATACAGACAGTGCGACTGAGAGTCAGCTGGACACACACCTGCTTTGGGGACAGGGTCCAGCGCACTCCGCTACACCTTGGGCCTGTGACAAACAGGGAGGGAGGTTACCTTGGTCTGAAAGGAGCAGTACAGGTGTGTGAGGAAGGGGTTGTCCCAAGCCAGTGCCAGTACTCTCTTCTCCACCATGGTGCACTCTACGTCATCATCCATAAGTACCACGTCCTTCTTCAGTGCTTTGATGGCAAAGTACTCACTGTGCCCCTTCAGCTCTGCTAACAGCACCTAGGATGAGGGGGATCTTTAAGCGCTGTTTCAAGTCACCTTCAAGAGACCTAGATTATCCAGAATGTGCTAAGAAGCCAGAAGTTACTGAACACACACTGCTGCTATCTGACATCATTTCCTTGCGCAGTAACAGTAATCAGTACCACGCAGAACAAGCAGATGCCAAGTCATACCTTCCCAAAGCTGCCTTTTCCCAACACCTTGTGAAAGATGAAGTTCTCCACGTTAACTCGTGTCTGGTGCGTGATGCGGGAGGGGGGCCGGGGGGGTGTGGTGCTGTCCCACAGCTTGCAATACTGGGAGCCATCTGCTAAAAGGACACGCACGAATGGAGATAGAGAAGAGCGGGATAGGATCGGGCAGACTGCCGTCGTCAATGACAGCAGCGGTTAATGTGTCCGGGGCCCGGCAGCGAGTTGCTGCTCACAGCACATCCCCCTAAATCACTTCCACAGCTCATGCAGAGACCCCAGCTGTAACTACTGCTAGACTTCTTCAGAATTCTTCAGCTTTGTTAAAAATGTGACCTTGAAGTCTCCCCAATAAAGCCAGGGGAGACTAGTACGAAATCAGTGTTTTGTGACAATCTATTTGCCCGTGGAAATGAAACCGCTTACAGCACTCACCACTGACATCCAGACCAGGGGGTTTGTTGAAAGGCTGGTAGATCCCACAATCGTTCGCTAGGTTAGGGTCAGAGCGCCTAGTGGATTTCTGAAAAGAAATTAAATCTTGTAAGAAATTCCATCCGCTGTCATATTGGATATGTATTGTTTTATATGGCATGCTTTGTTAAACCATGTCACTCAACACACACGCAAGCTCATCCTGTCCCTCCCTCAGCCTCTTTTCTCCTGCTGTTCAGTGAGAGGCTGAGAAAGAGAGAGTTCTGGGAAATTGTAGTGGGGGGAAGCAGAGAATTAAACCAAAACACCAAGAAAGGTGTGTTCTGGACGCACGCCTGTGAATCAGAGCAGGTTAGGGAGGAGGCTGCGGGGAAGGGAAGACAAATGCTGCTGGGAATCTGCTCATTCTCCTGCTGCAGAGGCAGACAAAAGACATCAAGCAATCACCACGCGAGCGCGCACACACACACGCACACACAGACACACATCTTTGTGGGGACCATCCCGTCATTTCTATGGGAAAAACCTGAATCCCAACAATGACGACGTTAACCCCTACCCAGGCCTAACCTTAACTGTAAGTTACCAAATAAAATCCAAGACTTTTGGCATTTTCCGCTTTTTTATCTTTTATAAAATTGAGTTTCTCCTTGTGGGGACTGGAAAAAGTGGTCCTCACAACATCAAAATGACACACACACACACACACACACACTATGGCTTACCACTATATTCTGCTTCTAATCTCAGGGACACATGGGTTGAGGAAGAGCAGAGGAGACACTGAGTCATGCACATGCACATAGTAAAGTCACCAATGGTTCTGATTTTGGACAAAAAGGGATGGCTTTGTGGCAATAATTTGGTCCAGGTCTGAAAACTTAGCAAATCTAAATTAAGGCTGCAATGATACACATATTCATTGCGCGCCATTCAGTACATCGTTTTAGATTTGGTATGCACAGTGAAACGGATGAATACATTGACTGACTTGGACAGAACCTAAATTCACAAGCAGGTGTTCAACACGGAAAACATTCTGGTTTCCCAATATATTTCACCAACACTGGAGAGAGAGTATTTGATAAGACCTGTGTTATACCGAATCGGATATGTTGCTGGAAACACATACAACGTGCTAACTCATTTGAGATGATATCATCTTAGTGTTTGTACCACTGGAGCAAAGTAGCAGTAGTCTCTGCAAGTTAGTCTCTCTGTGGAACTTAAGATGCTTTTGCCAGGAAATGCAGTCCGAGCTAAAAAACAATAATAATCACGGCTATATCGCTGCAGATATGACCACACTTAGTAGTAGAGAACAAGGGATTTAGATTATTAAGATTATGATGTTATATTTCTGATTTTTAAATTACACATATTTATCTTTACAATGTAAAAATAAGCATCCCTTAGGTTGTGTTATTCCTACACATTCACAGACACATTGTCTTTGGTTTACAAATATCCCTAATTGTGTTTGCGGTTTTAGCAATAAATAATTTCAGAACAAACTTTGTTTTCATTGCTGTACCGAAATTGCACCTAACCGTGAACCCAAAAATGAAGTTTGTACTGTTTATACCGTTACACCCCTGAAGAGTCTGTTGTGAATTCAGTCATGTGTATTCATAACTGAGAGAACACTGCAGCAGCATCACACTGCAGCAGCATCACTGAGACATATTTCCAGTGCTTGCCATAATGAGGCTTCCCCCAGTTCTCTCTGCCACGGAGTGGAGGGTGCTGTGCTCGTGGGGAGCTGAGGAGGAGGCTGTGTGGAAGCCCTCGGAGGCCCACCGGCCTCTCACCTTCCCCCACCCACTCTCATCCCACTATGGTGGCTCAATAAACAAAAGTACTGTGGCCTCTGAGTGTAACCATAACAATAATAAATTCATTGTCAAAAATACATTTAAAATGTAACACAAAATGCTCCAGTGATTGTAGTATTTAACCTTCATTTATTCAAACAAAAATAATCCCCATTTGTTATGTACTTCTGCTTCAAAGGATTACAAGTAGGAATACTCCTGGAATCCCTGGGATGGAGGAGTGGGCTGCCGGTCACCCACCTGGCTGACTTGGGTCAGGGCCTCAGCAAGCAGCTTCTGATTGATCCCACATAAATTGGCCACCTTCGTCTGGCACTTATGATGGACGTTCATAGCGCAATCTGTGGTAAGAGACCGCAGAGGTTGTGAGTGGGGAACAAGCAGTTTGTGTGAGTGGACATTAAATGCGCTCAGAGTGTGGAACACCCAATGTGATGCAAGTGTATCTATGAGTAGCTGGGTCTGGGAGAAGCTGTGAAGCAGCCTGACACTTAGCCTGCTTACCTTCACACTTGAGGCCCTGCTTGACCAGACCCCATAGGAGGCTGCCACAGTGGTCGCAGAAAGTTGGGCTCATGTAGTTGTAGGTCTTGAAGCGATGTGGCATGTCGATCTTGAAGCGCTCCTTTTGAAACTGAAAACATGTGCAAGGCCTCAGCTGGACAGAGCAGCCGAATCGCTACTGGAATTTGGCATCTCAGCCCACTCTCTGCTGGTTTTAGCAGCTTCATGGTTCTGTGTAGTACGGTTTGCTGTGATACTCTGACCCACTCTTCTGGCCCTTTGGCCATTATGAAAGCCACTCAAATCCCTGACCATTTCTTCTGCAATCAGCACGTCGACTATGAATACCAAACGTTAGCTTACTGGCTAATATGTAGTCAACGTTAATTGTTTCATGTGGGGGTGGTCATAATATCATCAGTGTGTGTGTGAATTTATATTTATATTTATATATATTATTCCTGAAAGATTCAATGAAAATGGCCTCACATGCTACACATTTCAATAAACGTCGATGTGCATTTTTTTATATATATATGTGTATATATATATATATATATATATATATATATATATATATATATATATAAAATTATACACACACACACATAATGATCTCCATTGTCTTGATGAAATCTGGCCTCCCTGATGGGGCTTTTTCAGAGCATCCTGTCTGCTCCATCTCACACTCACTGAGTGATGTCATTCCCCCGACGACATCACAGCTATCTCCATTGTTTCATTTGACATTTGTTACCAGCAAGTTCAATGTAAGGGGAGCCCAGTATAGATGTGCAGGCAAAGTCAATTACTGCAGTCTCTCTTGAGAAAATGCAAGTTTAAAGCACTGAAAAATACAATCCTCATTCAAAATAGTAATTTAAAAACAATGTTTTGTAGAAGATACATACTAACCTCATTGTACTATAATAAAAACTGGAGGTTTACACCTAAAAATCCACATATAGTGCTTCAAACATGCCAATCAATAAAAACACCTGTGGCAGTATCTTTTACATCATTATATTAAAATGTCCTCACTGCACAGTGGGTGTTATACTTTGCTTACCACAGTGTCCCGACTGTTCGCCGCGGTTCCAGTGCACCGCCCAATGATCTTGTCGATACACTTCTTGTGAATAGCTGCATTGCATTCTGAGATAGAGAAAACCATTTTCACTCACACTGGCAACTGAAATACTAGATTGTGACACAGATAATACTATAGATTATGCCGGCACTGGAAACAGAGATCCCCACGCAAGTTAGATAAGTTTCATTTAAAATAATTAAACTATTTTGCCATTTTCTTCTTCCTGTTCCCCTTTTCACTTATGGATTGTATGTAATGCACAGTCTGTGTTTGTGGCCTAATGATGATATTGGAAAAATTGAGTAAGTGGAATAAATTGATATGGGTATTTACGTCAGCTGTATAAAATCTGCAGAGGAAACAATCTTACTTCACGATTTTGACTTGTATTACGGGTACATTGTGGGTAATACCTACCTCTGCATTGGTAGCCTTGCTTATTAAGCCCCCTACAGAAAAAGAAATACAGGAGAAATGTTAGCTGCCCTGCTTCCCCAATGCTATCAGAAAATGAAGGTGAAATATCTCAGTATAAGCAGATATGAGAGAGCACAAGTAAAAATTACATGCTGTTGGAATGCAACAATGTATTCCCCAGACCTATCTGATCACTGCTGCCCCAACACCCCCTCAACCTCTGTCTCTAGCCCTCTACCTTAGGCAGTACCTCATTTTTCATAGCGTCCATTCATTATACCACACCCACAATAAATTTTGCCACATAAAAACACTGTGGTATACCGCCCAAATATACCCTACACACTCTCCCCACCTCCACAAAAAAAAATAAAAAATCTTTATTAAAAGCCTAACTTTGTGAGTATGATCAGGTCTGCCAGATCTGAAACTGACCAGACAAACTCGCGGCACACAGAGCAGAAGGTGGGCTGCCGGAAGAAGGTGGCAATGAACTCATGGTTCTTGATGTTGTGAACCTTGGCTTGCTTGATGGCACCACGACGTCGGTTCAGCGTCAGGACCTCCTGCTCCTTGGCAGGCTGCTTGTTCTCTGAGGACAGCAACATGGTTGGGTCGCAGCCTTCTTGGTGGCCATATCGCAGCCACCACCACGATTCCCATGACACAAGGACTAAAGACTTATTTGGCACTAATGGAGCTTAAAACGAATAGTTGATATTGAAACAAATTGACTGACTGAAATCAGTAGGCAAAACACAAGGTGACAAGGCGAAGGGAAGGCGTATTGCAAAAAGAAAAAAGTTACACGAACAACATAAACTGTAATTTTAAGCAAAAAAAGAAAACAGTTAAGTGAGATTAGACTATGTGTGAGACACTAATTTTCCTTTTTGCTGTAGTAGGTCTTTTCACACAACTCCTACGCTTAATGTCCACTAGGAGTGGCCTGCCAATGCAAAACATGCTGCATGCAGAGGAGGTGCCAACCCGGGCATGTTCACACACAGGGGTCTAAAAATACCAGTCTGGGCCGCATTTCAGAAAAAGCTGCCGGTCACTGACGTTGCTGAGGGCCTTCCTCAGAGTTCCTGAGCTTACAGCGAACTCAAGGAGTTGGTCAGAATTTGGTTCGGAAACTTGCCTTCCCCAGGGAGTGAGCGTGCCTTTACTCACTGAATCCAATTTGTTCTTTTACTTTTGGATAGTGTACCAGCTTCATGTTTGAACCACCAAGATTGGCCCTGCTCTGTAGAGGTGGCAATGACTTTATCGAGAAATGAATACCAGTCAGAACAGAAATGGGTCAGCAAACTTTAAGGCTGTGGGAATATTTGTAAGCAGCATGCTTACATTTACAGTGCACAAACTAAGATCCTTACAGATCTGCATTTCTGATTATGGAGTCATTTTCATCTAATGTATCTATTTCTAGTCGTGTCCCATACAGTAAAAATGAGGTAGAATTGATTCAGATCAAGAAGCTTAAGTTTTTCTTCTGAGTGAGCATACAAAATTTGCCATGTACACTGTCAGTCAACACATTTTCAGTGCCCTACATTTTAATGTTGTTGGTTAAACTAACAATGCACTCATTGTAAATACGCTGTCAGGACTATATCAAACAAAAGGAAGAAAGAGAGTCATGATACAGCCTGTATGATCATCTGATCTTTGATGCCACTGAGGTGATTTGGGATAAAAAGAACAGAAAGGTTACGGCTACATGGCCAGCTACGCAGATGGTGTGTGGGCAAGTCCCTACAACAATGCCTAGAGTTCATTTAGCTGTAATCAGTACAAAAGGTGCCTACACTGATGAGTGCAGCTCAGTTTTTAATTACATTGGTTATGTAATTATGTATTCCATAAAAATGTATTACATATGTTATTTTTTCCTTAATTGCCATTTGTACCTTTTCTGTTGTATATGGTACTGCTTGTAAGTAATCTGCCACAAAACACAGTATTCAAAAATTTTTGTCAGAGTAAATAAAGGTAAATAAAGTAAAATTAGGCTGGTGGAGCAAGGAAGACCTTAACTGAACTCATGCAAGGTTTGCGTCTGTACGTGCAGCTGTGAATGAGAGTGAAAGACAGAGAAAGACAGAGAGAGAGACTGTCTGTTTCCGTAATCTTACCAATATCTGAGTCTTCCACCAAGTACTGCACTGCCATCATCACCTTCCCCGAGGGTTGCAAGTCAACCTGAACATGCAGACAAGCTATTAATACTAAAACAGGCAAAAACAATTTTGCATAATAATGCTTAACAAAAGCAGGTCACACACAAAGACATACACGCACAGACACTTACCCAGAACTCGGCACGCCCGCTGGCCTTCTTACAGCGCTCTGCCAGCACAGACACGCCCACGGTGACCTCAGATAGCGGCTCCTCTGCTGTCTTCATGAGCAGCACCTGCAGGACGCGGCCCTCGTAGATGTGGGCGTCGAAGCTGGACTTCCAGGCTGGGTACATGGTGGGCTTCCTCTGCACCAGCGTCTTCCCACGTTCTGTGGGGTGACAGTGCGAGTTAAATCATGTACACAGGGGCTGTGTGAGTCTCATCAAACTGCACATTTTCTCTTTTTATATGAAACATCAGCGTTATTACAAGAGAGGGCAGGACGATGGCTCTGTGAGTTGCACTGTGGCTTCACACTTAATGTTCACAGCCTTGAGCCCAAACCCTGGCTTGGTGCATATGGAGTTTGCAGATTCTTCCTGCATTTGCTTGTCCTTACTGTGGGTTTGCTGGTGCACAAACTATTCTGAATTGTGCTTTGCAGTGTGTTGTGTGTGTACTGTGAGATTTACAGAGCATGCCCTGTGCTATGGTTCCTGAAATGGTCTCCAAGCAAAACTGAGCCTGTACCAAAGGAAAACGCACAGACGGACCGTGCCAGTCAGCATGACATGTAGACTTTGGAGATCAGAATTATCTTCTTTGCAAGAAGAAGATAAAAAAGAAGAAATAAGCAGTTCCTTATTTTATGAAGAATTCAGATTAATGAACCTATTCTGCTATTTTGTTTGTAGATGAGCTGAATATGGACTGTTGTTGACATTACTGGTGGTTTTCCTAGCAGAGCTGTTGGGGAGTTAGGTTTCCATCTAAGGGCACATCGTGCAGGACCAGTAAATGCGAGTTGGCAGCAGTGAATGCTTTTGTTACTGAGAGAGAAAAAGGGAGAGAGAGATTGGGGTATAAGAATGCCAGCTCCATGTTTGTGGAAGCCCAGTGGATGACCACACATGATTGTGTGTGTGTGAGACACCCAGCAGGACGCGATTCTCACCTGTGTTTAGTGACTCCTTCATCTTGATGGCACAGAAGGGGGGGTCTGTCAGCGGGGGAAGGGCGCCGAGGTCAAAGGCGTTGAAGGCGATCCGCAGGAAAGGCGACATGGCGACGGGTCACCCAGCTCTCTGCTAAAGATAAACCCCCCCATTAGCACGTCGCACCTACATTCCAGCCCAGTGTCACCATTTCAGAAAGCTGTGGTTAACCCACATCGCAAATGGAGCCTATTTAATGGACATTTATGCCACAGCAGCAGCAGGGGCATCGCAGGAAAACTGCAGAGCTCTGGATATCCATTGGCTTAATTTGGGTGGCTGGGAGGGGTCAATCCAGTAAGATGGAGGAGCAGAATAGTAACACCCATTTAAGCTGGAAAGTTTCCCCAAAGCACTGGAGGGGAAACAAAAACTCCACTCAGCTACGCATATTTGTACGAAAGTGAAGTGAAAACTCGAGCTGAGCTGATAGTATGGGTCCTCTTCCCAAAGTCAAAATGGCAGCGGGGAGGGGAGGATCTGAAACGTTTGGACCGAAGGTGGCAACGAGCAGGGCTGTGGGAGGGTCTCCTGGGAAGGGCAGCCAAGCAGTAGGTCCATTCCACACCCACAGTTGGCAGCCTCTACGCGCCACAGTGCCCTCGCTTTCACTGAACCTCTATTCAAACTCAACACCCACTTCATAAAAGCCAACACAAGCACACTACTGTTTTTTAACACTAAAGATGCCATTGGTCGTGTGCCAGTAGTTATGTGTTAGTGTGTGTGTGTGGGGGGGGCACCTGTACAGAGAGGCTGTACTGCAGGCTGCAGAGATACCATATGTGGCACTGGATGCATTTATTCATAGTCACATGCTCCGTTAGCCAGTGAGACACACTGCAGCTGCGAGCTGTGCATTTAGAGGATGCCAGGGATACAAAGCAGCCCCTGTGTGAGAGTCATATGGCACGGCAGTGGCACAAACTGGCAGTGCGAGCACACAGTGCACAGCAAAAATGGCACCGGCAGCGAGGCCACAACTCTTTCCTCCCTGATAGTTATCAGCCCCCCCACCCCCCCGACCACAAGTTCTGGGGGTCTCAGTGCTGCCTGAGTGCTCTTGCATGTATACTGAGACGTACATTACACAAACAGTTTGTTTTGTTTTAAGGAGAAGGTCTTGGGCCTATTTAGCACCATCGTTTGTATTTGTAATGCTATCTGCATGAGATAAAAACACAGGAAACCTCAGCCAGACATGGGTCACTAAAGCTTTAGGATGATAAATCCGATCAGATCCACAGGAGAAACCCGCCACCGGGGGCAGTGTGGATCTTTGCTTATGTGAGTTTCTGATGGTGGATGGTCTCTATAAGCTGTTGAAACCTTTTCTATGTGGGAAATTTTCTTAAGCCACCCTTGTCTTTGGTTGCTGAAGGCATCGTTTGTTGCCATATAAACTGCGCTAGTGGCATCTGTGGTCATAAAACAGGAAATGCAGCACATTCTACTTCCTCCAGGGACAGACTTTGTTAATATGCACTAAACATATGTTGCAGAATATTAATCGCATACTTTCTTAAAAAGACTGGTGTGGAATTACCTTACATACTTGCAGGCAAAACTTTAAGGAAATAATAAAGACTAATTGACGTTTGTGGTACCTATTACTAATATTAAAATAATATTAAGCATGCTTCCATCTTAGATTAAATATTTAATTGAGGGCAGGGCAAAACAAATGGACAAGGATATACACTGCAGGGGAGGCAACAAATTCACAAATCAGGAAAAAAAAAACAACAGATGTTCAGCTAAGCATGTAAATGTCATGAAAACAGTCTTGCTGGATCTGGGGAAGCTTTACAAAGGCAAGGAGCTCCAGTGACACTGCAGGCATTACAAACCAGGCTCATCTGCCGGTGCTTTCAGAGCTAACTCATCAAACAGGGAAGTTATGAAAGGCCGTGAGTCACTGTGCAGCGTGTGTGTGACTACACTTCCTGTTCTGCTGTGCCAGCTTTATTTTCCTCCTGGAGCTGAATAGAAAATGCTGCTTTTCAGGAAAACGTACATTCTAACGCCGTTAGAGGACAACAGCTGTTAACATTTAGCATTTGTTCTACTGTAACCAAGTAACATTTTAATCTCATTCCTTGAAAGCCATCTCCTTTCGAATTCTGAGCTGATCGATGTCTGATATGTGCCCCCCCCCCTTCTAATTCTGAGCTGATCGATGCCTGATATGTGCCCCCCTTATCTGTTTTGCAAACAACACCTGTGACTACAAGCTGCTCACAAACTTAATGTTTAATATGGAAGTCTTCCCAACAGGGCTCAGAGGCATGAGGGAAATCGACAGGCAGCCTACAGCTGGAGGGGGTCAGGGAGACAGGTGAACTGGAGGAGGTGAGGGAGACAGGTGAAACAGCATTGTACCAGTATGCCACTCTATGCCTCCTGACATACCTGTTATTAACAAGGGAACGCAAAAGACAAATTGGATTTTTTGATCACCCACAGGAAAGTGAAAGATGTTCAAGCTGCAATAAAAAAAATCGTAAAGGACAGCAGAAACCTCTGAATTGGAAAAAGTAAATATTTAACAATCTCACTATTGACACACTGCTTATGGCTTTTTAGGTGGACAAACAGATTAGGAGCCTGGCTCACAGTGGTGTCACAGGGGAAGCAGTCAATATTCCCCACAGCCTGACAGCGAGTGCCCTCAGAACAGACATACAGACAGAGACACACACACACACACACACACACCGCAGGTAGCAACAGTTAGGTACAGATTATTAGGATAATCGTTAGCAAACTCGCCATTGGAAACTTCAGGAGGTTTTCTCGTAGAGTTGGGAGGGTAGGTTAGCCAACCTGTAGCATTAAATCACAAAAACCCTACCTCAGCCTCATCAAAATACAGATTTTTAACAGAACCCATACTTAACATAAGCAACTTCCTTTCACGCCCAGCGTCGGCTCATGGGACAAAAATTGTAATGACATCCATTACGTTCTCAGGAGGCTGCCTCTGCTTTCATCCATCTTCAGTGACTCTGCTAACAGGCTATGCAAAGGGGCAGTGGTGGAATGTAACAAAGTATTTGTACTTCGTTACAGTACTTAAGAACATTTTTACGTATCTGTACTTTACTTAAGTAAAAATAATAATGCATACTTTTTATTTTACTCCATTACATTTTGTGGCAATTATCTGTACTTTCTACTGCACTACATTTCTACAATTTATGCTGTAAGTCGTAACATTTTATGAACACAATTATCTCAAAATCTTGCATGAAAAAATAGTTAGCCTATTGCGTTCTGGCGTTGTTTGCCATTTCCTACCAATCAGGTGGCTTTATTAGCTCCAATGATGGCAGATGTGTTGAATAGTTTTGCAAGTACATAAATGATGTAAAGATATATCATGTCCTGATTGGTTTATCTTAATGGTATATTAGTGGGTAATACCTAGTAGATAACTTGTCATCCACATAATTCTAAGGTTAGGGTACAGACAGTATTGCAGAGTGCTTGCACAATAAGCACACCAAACTTTCCAATACACATACTGTATACTGTATAGTTGCTTGTAATTATTACGAGCAATGACATCGGTAGAGGCGCAAGTCAGTATATCTACTATTCTTTTACAAAATGGCACACCCTAGACATTGAGACAAACCATTGTGTGAGTACTTTTACATAAAAAAATACTTTAAAGTAAATTTAAAAGTAAGTACTTAGTACTTTCACTTAAGTAAGATTGTTGATGTAGCACTTCTACTTTTACTTAAGTACATATTTTGCAGGATATTTGTACTTTTACTTAAAGTACTAAGCTTCAGCACTTCCTCCACCACTGCAAAGGGGAGAGATCGAAGGTGTATGTAGGATCAGGTGTTGCTGCAGTTCTCTGCCCATGGGTTGGGCTCTCCGCAATCCAGAGTCACAACACTCAACCAGCCTAGTGCTTGTGTTACTGTGAGACTCCTGTGGAATGTCCTTCAAAAATGTCATCAATGTAGAAAAAAAAACTACAAATGTCAACTGATAGCAACCACATTTATGTTTTGCAGAGTTTAAAAATAAAAAAGTACCAATCAATATACTATTATATGCAGACACATAGAGCTGGATCAATACTAGAATTTTACCAATACCAGCGTTGGCACCTCGATATCAAAACCAAATCAATACAACATCAATACTGTAGAACATTTTCGTTTCAATATTATATTGCTTTCAAATAAACAGGCCCATTTATTAATTAAACCAACAGAAATAGCCTATGGTATACTTTTAACATTATCAGCAGAATAATAATTTGGCCTCAGCAGCACATCTGATGATCTTTAACTTTATAACAGAAAAGCACAAGTGAGAGATAGATGCATACAGCATACTGGGGCTGTCAGGTGTGGGCGCTCACCTTGTTCAAACCAAATAAACACCAATGCCAACAATTCTCACTTCTGTCACCCTGGTCATTAACTAGAGGCAAGCAGTACACAACAGCGGTTTCATTTTCTATCGATGCAACTTCTCCGAACAAAAGATACGTGAAATGAGTGTGACTGACTCTCCCAAAAATGCTACATGATATAAATATTAAAATTTGCAAAATAGTAGAATTCTTTCATTTTTGGTATTGCGATACAATACTGATATCAGTATATCAAATAATGTTAATATATAGGTTAGGGATGTAACGATACACTCACAACAAACTATTTGTGTAACATTTTTTTTTCCCCCAGCACAAACTAACCGAAAACAAAGGTGGAATTTATTTCTGGTTCAACTCTCCCTACAGATTTGTTTTTTAAAATGTACCAAATTAGAAGTTATCCCAGTTTCAGCTGAGTTCTTCTATATAGACCTCCAGCTATCACAGAACCAAAAAGAGATCCACCTTATTCCTACATGATAACTCCCGGCTGAAATTTGCAGGTTAGGTGACTGCACAGTATAGTGTGTGACCATCTTTAGGCTTACATAACTCACACCATCTACCCAGAAATAAACAGCTACATTCATCCCACTGCTGGTAAAAGCAGGACCCTCTCCTGAAATATCTGCTACATTTCTAGCCTGAAATGTCTCCCAAGAATCAATTAACAAATATTTCATTTAAT